GGTGCACATTTGAGTGTCTTTGTAAATCTGTTGGGTTTCTGTCTGGAGTTTTAGGTCTTTGCCAGAGTGAGCCGGAAGAAGGGATGGAGGAGAGAGAGAGAGAGAGATGCTATCACCTCTGCCGTCCTCTCTCTCCGCTCTGATCCCTGTCTATCTCACCTGACCTGCATTAAGTCTCTCCTGTCATGGTCGTGACTGTTGTCACACTAACACCTGGAGCCCAGCACTGTCATCACTGCACTTATGGGCCTGTCAATCACACCGAGAGAGAAACACAGAGAATTGTGAGGGCATGAAGACACAAGAAAGGGGAGGATTTTGTTTGTGCAAAAGGGCATGAAGGAGCAATAGAGAGAACAACAGAGAGAGAGAAAATAGATTCTTTCTTTAGTTTTTTTGTTTTTGTTTGCTGGTTTCTTAAGTTGTTTATTAGCTCTTTTTAGGTTTATTTTGTTCATTTATCCTGAACTTTGTAAATTCATAGGTTTATTTCTTCTTTCTCTTTTCATTTGTTTGTTTTTTTTTGTGTGTGTGATTTGTTCATATTTATATTTTTCATTTATTCCTGTTTTTTGTTTCTTTGTGTGAAAGTAAAATAAGGCTACTGAGAAGACGAAAGAAACATCACGTCTTTGATCTGTTTGTTCTTTCTTTCTATTTTTTGTTTGTTTGTTGATTTGTCTGTTTTCGCTGTCCTTGGTTATTCCTTTTATTGATTTTGTTCATTTGTTTGTTCATTCTGTTTGTTCTTTTTGTCTCTGTTTTGTTTGTTTTTTTCCCTCAAATTTATTTTGTTCGCTTTTTTTGTTTGTTTGTGGACAAGTTTGTGGTAGACTATAGAGCCTTTAATTTGTTCTTTCCATCTTTTGTTTGTTGATATTAATGGTCTGTTTTTTTTTCTCCTTTTTGTTTGATCTGTTTTGATCTTTTTCTTTTCTTTCTTTAGATTATTGTTCAATTGTTATTTTTATATTCTTGTTTTTATTATTTGTTTTATTTCAGTTGTTTTTATATTCATTTTAGATTTTTTGTTTTTCTTTTTGGTTAATTTGTTCTTTTATTTGCTTGTTTGTTTCTTCTCTTCACAGTCATTGGCTGAATCTATTAACAGATTTATTATTTGGATATTTAATTGGTTATTAAGAAGAGAAAGTTGCGGTTCATGTCACAGTGAAACTGGCAGTATTTTTTTTAACAAACTCTTTTGGCCGGTTGGCTGGATACATTCTAGCGTGGCACCAGGCGAGTGGTGGTCGAAATCCACACACACACACACAGAGGGTGAGGTCATCATCAGGGCACGTTTGAATCATGGATTGTAATAGTGGCACTGACAGCAGCACACACTCACACAACTCCATGACCCTGTACACCAGCAGCAGCGCCAGTCAACTGAAACCACATTACCAGCGCCCAGCCGTGATCCATCAGAGAGAGCTCACAAGAGAGAGAGAGAAATTAAACAACAATCTCTTACATCATAATACGCTTACCACACAGAGTACACACAAAAAATAAGCATACCTGTTAAAGAACATCGGATTTGAAATTCCATTTCAATGAGAATCAGTCAAAAGTAATTGAATCAGGAACAGAGTCCATCACAATATAGGCATGAGCTCTAGGATTCACACACATCAAAAAGGATTTTTGGAAATGTGACAAACACCAAATACTCTGCAGGCAGACTCCTGCAAGAATGTTGCAGAAAACACTATACAAGAGCTGAAGACCAGACTTAAGGCTATACGTTGTTGTTTTTTTTGTTGGTTTTTTTGATGAACCCCGCATTAAAAAATGCATTTATTTTAGATTATTATTGAAACGCAGATGGAAAATTAAACAGAAATGACCAAATAGAAGAGCTAATCCTTGATCAAATAGTTCTTGTTCTGGATGCGGATTGGTCAATTTCTACCATGCTAAATCTAAATCTGGCTATACACAATTTTTTTTTCTTAATGACTTTTTAAACTGTAGGAAGCCTATGTTATCACATAACCTTGCGATATTACATGCTTAATTCAGCAAGCTGCATCTGGTCATTTAATTTCAATAATAAAACGTAATATATATATGTAAAACATCATTTGGGAGTCAGTTCAAACGTTTTTTTGGCACTCATAAACAGATTTTAAAATATATATAGTACTTTTATAAATGTATCTATTAAATAAATTCATTTATTTCTACAGAAAATTGTTTTTTTAAAGCAGCTATGCAGTTGTTGTTGTTTTTTTACCTTAACTGAATGGCTTCAGAGTTATTGCAATGGTTATATGACTATTTTCGGGTTGAATGTTGTGCGTCTCTTGCAAAGTGCTCGGGCTCCTACAATGATCGTTTTATAGGAAGAACCAGTTGGAAGTTTGCAAAGCTCATATAAAATAAAGATATTGAAAGTTTCTGTTTAAGACTTAGAGCGAAATCGAAGAACGAACTGGTGTAACGTAATTTCAAAATCGTGGCGATTACATAATAGGTAGGTGTGGCTCTGAGGCTCCACCTTCTTTGACGTGGATGTCCATTCCGGATTCTTTCTTCTGTTCAGTCCGTTCAAGTCGGACATCCGCGAGTGAAACCGTAAGCTCTTTATAGTAGAAAATGCCGTTGTCATTCTTATCGAAGAGACACTCACATTATTTTTTCATGTTTAATGCTGTTAAGCTGCCTGTTTTTAAACATTTAAACAATCTACTGTATAAAGTTCTATTCAAATAAATGTGACGTGACTATACTGGAGTGCAAACATCCACATTGCTTTGATCAAATGCTTTCTAAACTGTTTTCCCACCGCTGTCATTTTAGTAGTGTGTGTATGTTGTTATTGAGAGGAAAGTGCACAGCACATATTTACATATTCATCGAAACGCCGCTCTCAGCATCATGGGTGACGTCAGGATATTCGCTAATGGTGTCCTGCTGCTCACATATTTCTAACTTCTCTTTACCCCAAGGCGAAGAACAACAACAAAAAACTTTACTAGCAATCCTCATAACATATTTTTATATTTAGATGGCTGGGTATTACACTTATTTTCCACTAATGGTGTTTGTATAATCTGGCCTCATTGATTTAAACGTGTAAATGTCACGTAAGGAAACTAACTATGGTTGGTTACTTTAAATGTCATCAGATGGTCTCTTCCCATCTAAGTGGCTGGTTTTTGGCAGGATCAACTGCAAATTGGACGAGACGTCTGGCTATTGAGAATGCGACCGTGTGTGTGTATAATTACAGCAAATGGCTGCGGAAACGTCTACAGATCAGATTCAGCTCACCAAATCAAGCTCCGATAACAAATGTGCTGCTAATAGACACCTCCACATCTGCTTTAATGGATGATCAGTTCCAAAAAAGAGAACAAGTCCTCTTCATATCAGGATCTAACAGATGTTACACATGGCGTGTGTGTGTTTGTGTTTGAAAAGCGTCACTTGTCATATTCTATTTTATTTCGCACACATGCGCAGCTGCACTGTTGTTTCTGTGGGAACGTGTTTTTTTCACCCCTTTGTATTCATTTGCATAAAGATACAAGCCAGGTTTGAATCTGTTTGCCTTCAGCACTGAAGAACTTTATTTCTTCATGCACACACACATTTCCAGTACGCTGTATCTACTTCACTGGGATTTCCGTAAATATTCCTGTGCTGCATTTATTATCAAATACATTGTCATTTTGGGGCGTTTTTTTGTGATGTTGACTAGATGCCAAATTCACCATCTGTCACTGTGGTTTCTGGAAACACTTTATCCCATTTTCAGGAGTGTTTTGATTATGCGCTCAACAATTTGTACTTTTATTGTTTGTAATTCTGTTTATTTAGTAAATCAAGGCCACATTAAATTGACCCAAACAGTACAATTAAAGACATTTTAAAATATCATACAAACTTCTGGAAATCTTGGTTTCCACACAATTTTTGGGCAGCACAACTGTTTGCAAAATTGATAATAATCAGAAATGTTTTCTGAGCACCAAATCATCATATTAGAATGATTTCTGAAGGATCATGACACTGAAGACTGGAGTAACGATGCTGAAAATTCACAGGATATATTTTTTTTACCGTATTCTGGACAAATGTGGGCAAAATAGTTTGATTTATTTTTTAAAAATACTTCCCTTGAGCGGTACAAGACATACTTTTCCTAAGTTTGCCTCCTGAACACACACCGCCTGTAGAAAAATAAAAAAATAAAACATAAAAATAAGCATAAATTACATAGAATATGGTACTTTTTGAAGTAAATAAATTCAAAAATACCCCCAAAAATAAGAAAAAACACCATTAATGGATATACAAAACTTTATCGAAGACAGTGATATAACATTTATAATAAATAAAAATTAGGATCACACCTGAGTCCTCTGTGCCCACATTTGTCCACAATTACAGTATAGGATTAAGGGCTATGTGAATACGGTTTGAGGGCTACAATATATTCAAAATTGTAATAATATTAGTGTTTCTATTGTATTTTATTGTACTCCTGTCCATGCACTTATTGCGAGGAGCACTAATTATAGCATGCATACTTTAGTATGTAGCGCTTCAAATCAAACAAACAGAAAGGCAGATCACTGGGGTTTTAAACGGCAGCAAGAATAACACTGAGTGAGAGTAGAGGTGTAGGTCAACATGTCAATGAGACCACTTATGTGTTGTCACTCATCTTTACTTTCTTTTACTTTAAAGCTTTGCTCTTTTATAAAGGTGGTTGTGTTGTAAGGTAGAGGACAGGGCGGCCGGTTCATGCCAGCCCATCTGGTGAGAGGAGATTTCTTCCCCTTATGTTCCTTACTGAAGTGTGTGTGTGTGTCAGCGTTAATCGTGCAGAACAGTGTACTTTGTAGGGTAGGACAGGGGATGCTGACACCATCATCTCAGTATTAAAACACACTCAACACAAACACACACATTCACATACAAAACGACCTAGAGTATGTGTCTTATTGATGTTCACTGCTCTCTGTTTGTGTGTGTCTCTGCAGGCCACGGATAATGACATTGGCACGTTTGGAGTGGTTCGGTATTACTTCAGCGATGAGCCAGACCAGTGAGATTATCATTCATTAACATACTGTGACCTTTCACACTTACACAGCGTCTTGTTTAATTCATTCATTTCCTCTGATTCATTTAATCCACATCTCTGTAGATTTGCCTTTCCTATAGACTGATTTCTTACTTGGCTGTTTTTGGAGTGGAATACTAGCATACTGCATATCATTGTCTTTAAAACATTATACATACACATATACTTTTAAAATCATTATCACATTAATTTGATGAGCAACATAGACTTAACGGCAAATTTAGGAAATAAAATGGTTATTTTGTATTTTTATATTTTACAAAAAAAAAGAATTGTATCTATAAATGAAAAAAATGTAATTGTTATAATTTTATTGAATTCAAAATGATTTATTTATGTAAGTCAAGTAACAGATTTTAAAATTTATTTACAATGGCATTAATTCAACAAAAGTGCACTGCATTGTGGGAGAGTTTTCAAAATACTGTTTTTTTTTGCACATTACTGCAAATGTAATTGGAGTTAAAGATAATTTGCATGCTGTGCTGTTAAATCTATTAAAAAGTATTTACATTAATTAAAAAAAAAGCTGAAATAAAAAATATACTTTAAATCTTAGATTAAAAAATGTGAACTTAAAAAACTAATATATATATATATATATATATTTTAATTTATATATATATATATATAAATAAATGTTGCCTTGGCATCTGACTGAAATTAGTTTAAATTGAGGTTTTAAAAATACTAAAACTGAAATAAAAGTGAATTAAAGCTAAATAGAAATATTTACCAAAAAAGAAAATGGCAAAAGTGCTAAAATTTCGGTTAAAATGAAAGTTGAAAATATAACAATTAAAGCTAATTAAAAATTATGAATAAATCCTATCATAGTATATATATTGTAAATAATACTAAAATAACACTTACAAAAATAGCCTATACTTACTCAATACTGCTAGAGAATATGAGTAGAACGCCTTATGCTATTCTGAACATCTCAATTGCTGGTTAATTAATTAGCAACTGTGACTCATTAACCCCAGGTTCTCAATGGATGTGGAGACGGGTTGGGTGACTCTGCGAGACCGGCTGGATTATGAGCTCATGAGGCGCTTCACTCTAACGATACTGGCTCGGGATGGAGGAGGGGAGGAGACTACGGGACGTCTCCGCATTAACGTGATGGATGTAAACGACAATGCGCCAATCTTCCAGAAGGAGGCGTATACAGGTTCGCTCATGGAGAACGAACAGGCTCCACAGCAGGTCGTCCGGGCCCGGGTGAGAAACATAAAGACATGTGGAGCTTAAAAAAAAACAGCAGGAAGAGAAACTAGAAAGAGGAGACGCTGTTCACAACACATTTCCATTTCGTGACTGATGTTTTTCAGAGTAAAACAAACTAGTGATGATGAAAAGTGAATAGGCTACTATGTACCTGAGTAGATGGGAAGAGTTGTATCAGAAAGATTTGTTCTGATGTGTAATTGTCAGTCTGCTAGTGTTCAGTATGTCTCTATTAGTGTTTAATTCTCTCAGTGTGTTGCTAATTCCAGCTGTCGGCTCTAATCTGAGCTGTTATTGACAGTTTAACGGCAGATGTTGCACTTATCTGACCAGCAGGTGGCGGTGTGTTTATGCATGCATGCTAGACTCTACATTGTTTTTATAATCTTCAATACAGTAGTGGCCAAAAGTGATGCCTGGAAGGGGGTATTTACACAATGTTTACTTTTAATGACTATTAAACTATCAAAATATGAGGAATATCTTATATTGGGAAGAATTATATACTAAACTTGGTATAAAATGATAAAATTATTTGGCAAGAAAGGCTAACTCAAGCATATAATTAAATGGGTTTTTATTGTATTATGCTAAAACTCACGAGAAAAAAAAGCATACATTGACTACAATGTAATCAGTTCTTAATATTAAGTTGGTTCTCCCTTGTTTTTGATTACAGCAGCCATTCTCCTGGGCTTTGACTCACTAAACTTTGCATGTCGTGCTTAAAGTATTTCCAACCCTCTTTCAGTTCTTCCCAAAGATAAGCTTCATTACGACCTGCGTGACTTCTCACAATGCATGTTTATAATTTCCCAAAGCTTTTCAATGGCTTTGAGGTCAGGGGAAATGAGGACGCACTTAAAGACTTCAAAATACTGAGCATTATCACTTTCATTGCATGCAACTTAGTTGCATTTCCGGTGTGTGTGTGTGGAATCATTATCGTGTTGAAAACAAAATATTTGATCTGACATTTTGTCCTGCAGGATTCCCAATATTGGTCCATTTTCAAAGTGCCTGCAACTTTGTAGATCTTTCCAAAACCTTTAGAAGCTGTTTTGATGTGGTCCCACATTCAGGTTATTTTCATCATCCAGCACATATTCAAAACCGATGGACCAGATTTAGTCATTTTAACAATACGCTCATTGGTTGCAGTTCCTTCCGTCTGTCCATTTTCACAAAATATTTCACAAAATAACATTTTATATCACCTTATTAATTAAATTATGAACATGTATTTTTTAGTTTAAGTTAACAATAACAAAACTGCTTTGTCACCAGACATTGAGTGCCGCATGTCAGATTCTGTGGTCAGTGGCATAAGTCTGGGGACGACACTTCCTGCACTCTTAAAAGAAAATGGTTCTATTTAGAACCAGAAATGGTTCCATCCCCCGCTTCATATATGGAACTCCAAACTGGTTCTATATAGAACCATTTTTTTTTTTTAAAGGTTCTATTGGCCAAGTATGGAACCCCAGGGTTCTATATAGAACCTAGAGGAACCCTTTTTTTAGGAGTGTATAGAACCTTTTAGGGGTTCCAAATATGTAGCGCTGATAAAACCTTTTAAGGTTCTATATAGAACCTTTTCTTCTAAGAGTGTGCTTTTCCCAAATGGGGCGGTATGAGTGTTTGGGAAACTTGTTCATCATTATAGTGAGTACAGTATATAATGGATTTCTGCGTCTCTCTTTGTGTTGTTCTCAGGCGACGGACGAGGACTCTCCTCCCAATAACATCCTGACCTACTCCATCATCTACGCTTCTCAGTTCAGATCATATTTCAGCATCACTGTGGTGGAGGGCTATGCAGGTCTGTGTTCAAATCAAAGTCACCTAATAATACGATTTCCCTGCTTGTTTGGGCTGTTGACGGGTTACATTAGGCTCTCGCCATCGCTCTGTGCATTAGCGGGGAATCGGATTTGTGTTTAACACCTTAAAGCGTGAAAATGCCTTTAGAGAAGCCTTTATGACCTCTGGTGTTTCATAAACGGATTATAGCTGCGTGACTTGTAAGCATGTGCTGATGTATTTGGTTTTCCCTTTTTGTTTGTTTGTGTGTTTAGTCATCACGGTGAATCGTCCTCTGGATTATGAGCAGGTCCCCGCTGGATTGATCTATCTGACTCTGATGGCCAGAGACGGAGGGAACCCGTCCCTCAACAGCACTGTTCCCATCACCATAGAGCTGTTTGTGAGTACTACCCCTGCCGGTAACACTTACTTGAAGGGGTGTGCATAAGACTGACATGACACCTTCATAATCATGACATGACACATGTCATGAGTATGAAGGAGGGTTTATGTATGTTTAATTATGACATTTTTAATGCAAAAATGACATTGTTTGAGATGTCTTTGTTATGACAACTTGACATAAACCAATGCCTGTAAGTGACATTACTAAGACAACACAACCTGTCATAAACATGACATTGCAGATTAATGACCTATTATTATTATTATTTTTTGTGACCTCAACTACAGTGGTATACATTGAATTTGTCATTAAAATGTTATAATGGCTTCATGACCGCCTATGTCAAAACCAACCACCTGACAGTTTAATGTAATGTTAACCAATAAAGCTAGGTGCTTTCTTAAGTTTGATTATGATTTATCATGTTTATGACATATTTATGACAGGTTGTGTTGTCTTAGTAATGTCAAATGGTCATTACCAAGACACTGACAGGTTATAATGTATTGGTTTATGTCAAGTTGTCATAAAGACAAAGACATCTCAAATAATGTCATATTTGCATTAAAAATTTCATAATTAAGCAAATGACACTTAATGAAATGAACAGTCAAGTCAAGTATATTTATATAGCGCTTTTCACAATATAGATTGCTTCAAAGCAGCTTCACAGTATCAATCAAAACATAATAACAATGTTCGTTTCTTAGTGGAAAAACATCCACGTTTTGTAGAGCTGATTAAGGGTATTAATGATTGGTTAATCAATTGAAGCTAATTCAACTGAGCAATGGTGTCCTAAAACTCCATTGAGTGACCCAATGGTGTCCTAAAACTCCATCAAGTGACCCAATGGTGTCCTAAAACTCCATCAGGTGACCCAATGGTGTCCTAAAACTCCATCAAGTGACCCAATGGTGTCCTAAAACTCCATCAAGTGACCCAATGGTGTCCTAAAACTCCATCAGGTGACCCAATGGTGTCCTAAAACTCCATCAAGTGACCCAATGGTGTCCTAAAACTCCATCAGGTGACCCAATGGTGTCCTAAAACTCCATCAAGTGACCCAATGGTGTCCTAAAACTCCATCAAGTGACCCAATGGTGTCCTAAAACTCCATCAGGTGACCCAATGGTGTCCTAAAACTCCATCAAGTGACCCAATGGTGTCCTAAAACTCCATCAAGTGACCCAATGGTGTCCTAAAACTCCATCAGGTGACCCAATGGTGTCCTAAAACTCCATCAGGTGACCCAATGGTGTCCTAAAACTCCATCAAGTGACCCAATGGTGTCCTAAAACTCCATCAGGTGACCCAATGGTGTCCTAAAACTCCATCAAGTGACCTAAAGGTGTCCTAAAACTCCATCAGGTGACCTAAAGGTGTCCTAAAACTCCATCAGGTGACCCAATGGTGTCCTAAAACTCCATCAGGTGACCCAATGGTGTCCTAAAACTCCATCAGGTGACCCAATAGTGTCCTAAAACTCCATCAGGTGACCTAAAGGATGTCCTAAAACTCCATCAGGTGGCCCAATGGTCTCCTAAAACTCCATCAAGTGACCTAAAGGTGTCCTAAAACTCCGTCAGGGTACCAAATGGTGTCCTAAAACTCCATCAAGTGACCTAAAGGTGTCCTAAAACTCCATCAGGGTACCCAATGGTGTCCTAAAACTCCATCAGGTGACCCAATGGTGTCCTAAAACTCCATCAGGTGACCTAAAGGATGTCCTAAAACTCCATCAGGTAATCCAATGGTGTCCTAAAACTCCATCAGGTGACCTTAAGGTGTCCTAAAACTCCATCAGGTGGCCCAATGGTCTCCTAAAACTCCACCAGGTGACCCAATAGTGTCCTAAAACTCCATCAGGTGACCCAGTGGAGAGAAAAAAAACCTTGGAGAACAGGCTCAGTCAGGGCCCAGTTCTCCTCTGGTGTTTATGAACTAGAGGCCGGATTAACATTAACTGTAAGGTAAAAATGTATGTGAATGTCTCTAAACAGACTTTAAACGCGAACCTGTGATAAACGCTGATGGCGCTCACATGCGCATTAACAATTGATTCTATAGTTATGTGTGTTTGAATATACTGTACATGTATGTGTGCAGGTTTGTGAATCCCTACAAAACCATGCCTGAACAAACTACTTGTCATGTCTATAAATGTAATACTATACCTTTATCCCAGAATCTAGTGAAAATGAAGATTACAGAACTGTCATTTCAGATTCAAGTTCCTCACACACAAACAGACACAGTTGGGTGTTGTGTGATCTGTGTTCGTTCTGAATTAATTGGTTTCCTCTTAGGTTCATTGACTAGGACGGTTAATCCACAGATCATTTCTCTCTGACATTTCTCTGCTCTTTTATTATAATTCTGATTAGACACATTTTATCTTAAAAACAGCAGGGGTTTGACACATCCATGCCTGTGTGTGTGCGTTGAGCTGAATTGAAGTGGTAAAACAGTGTATGTGTCTGATATTGAACAATTTCCCATTGCCACAGCCTGTGAGTTTCCATTAAACCCTATAACAGCACTCCATCAATATATTTAATTACAACCAAATCATTTTTTTTTTCCCTGTGGAAAATTAATGAGTTCATATTTAAAGACTTTTCAGATACCTAAAACGCTGATTTCCTCCCTCCTTCCCCTCTGCAGGACGAGAACGACAACCCACCCGAGTTCAGCCTCCCGTCTTATATCGTCAACATACCGGAGAATATCGTTGCAGGTGCATTAACAATTACATCATCAAAAAATGGAAGAATGGATCAACATGTAGTACATGTACAGTGCTCAAAACCTCATGACAACATAACTAGATCCCTGTCAGTGATGATTTACAGCGTTCAGCCAGCTGTGAACTAGTTCTGTTCAACGCTAATTTAATGTTTTGTGTGAAGAAGTGCTGTTTTCCATGACACACAGGCTTATGGTAGTTTTGTTTCAGCTCTGACCACCCTCAATCAGAACCAAAGAGTTCAAATATTACACAGAAAATCGAGTTAAACTTGTGAATTTTTTTTTTTAAATCTCCCACAATTATGTTATATTATGTTAATATCAGTGATTCTCATGCACACCAGACAGAAAACAGTCTGCATGACAAGCAATGGAAATGCAAATCTAGTCTATCTGTTCTGCATCATTTTGGACACATTACAAAACTCCTTGTCTCTAATAATTCATTTTATTTCCTTTTTTTTCTTTTAAATGGTTGTTTTAATTCAGCAAGTAGGTTGTGTGCAGGGGGAAAAGAGACAGATGTTCACAATTCTCATGCATTTATTCACTAAATGCCTTTATTCCACACAATAGACTCGCCTCCAATCATCAAAGGGAAATTACATTGGCTCTGCGTTTGCGTGTGTGTCAAGGGTACTGAACACACTCCACAAAAATCTGATAAAACTGAAATCCATAACCCTGTCTCCACCCAGTGCACACATTAACCACTTTCTGTCTGAAGACCATCCCTTACACTTTGCCTGTCTGTCACTTCATGTTATGTGTTTTTCTCTTCGTTCAGCTGTCTGTCTCACGCAATCATTATCTGATGGTTTGTTTACTTCCTCTTTTCTCTTTTGACTCATGTTTTTTCTCTCTCTCTCTCTGTCTGTCAGGAGCTACGGTGTTGTTTGTGAATGCCACCGATCTGGACGCCTCTCGAGAGTTTGGTCAGGCCTCTCTCATCTATTCCCTGCAGGGCAGCTCACAGTTCAGACTCAACACGCGTTCAGGTGGGCAACGAAAAAAACCTGCCCTTTAACCTTTTTTGGTTCCCATGAGGAAAATGGCTTATGTAAAAATTGCAGAAAGTTTTCTGTGCTGGCTTGGGGGTAAAGGGTAAGGGGATAGAATATACAGTTTGTACTCAGAAAAGTCCCCTTAAATCAAAACCCAACGTGTGTGTGTGTGTGTAGGAGAGATCACCACTACTGCTCTTCTGGATCGAGAGGTGAAGTCTGAGTATATTCTGATCATAAGAGCCGTGGATGGTGGGGTGGGGCCACAGCAGAAAATCGGCATCGCTACGGTAACGGATGACTCTTTGATCTACCTCACACAGACAGCATCACCTGTGTATAAAACTACTTTATATTACTTGACAGAAGAATCGTTTACCGTGTCTAGTCGTTCACTTTTAAAAAAACTTTTGCTGATAATTGACTCACCCCCATGTCATCCAAGATGTCCATGTCATTCTTACTTCAGTCGAAAAGAAATGAAGGTTTTTGATGAAAACATTCCAGGATTTTTCTCCATATAATGGACTTCAATGGGAACCAAACGGTTCAAGGTCCAAAAGACAGTTTCAGTGCAAACTCCAATCTGTTCAAAGGGCTTTAAATGATTCCAGACGATGAATAAGGGTCTTATCAAGCAAAACGATCGCTCATTTAAAAAAAAAATAAAAAAATAAAAAAATTTGAGTGTTATAAGCTCAAATGGTCGCCTTGCTCTGTTCTGTGATGCGTGTTTGTGACAAATCAAAATGAACGAATCTTTTTTCGTGTCATTTGGTTCATTCAACGAACAAAATGAATGAGTTGACTCAGGAAAAGATTCATTCATTTTGATGAACATGTTCGAATAATAGAGTCAGAAACGCGCATCACACCCTAACCCTAACAGAGCAAGGCGAGCATTTGAGCTTATAAAACTTAAACTTTTTTTTTTTTTTTTTTTTTAAATGAGCGATCGTTTCGCTTGATAAGACCCTTATTCATCATCTGGAATCGTTTAAAGCCCTTTGAACAGTTTGCATTTTGCACTGAAACTGTCTTTTGGACCTTGAACCGTTTGGTTCCCATTGAAGTCCATTATATGGAGAAAAATCCTGGAATGTTTTCATCAAAAACCTTAATTTCTTTTCGACTGAAGAAAGAATGACATGGATAACTTGGATGACATGGGGGTGAGTAAATTATCAGCAAAAGTTTTTTTAAAAGTGAACTACTCCTTTAATAAGTACTGTAAATGGGTGTCTGTTTTCATATAGCTGTTTCCAACATATTTTAAATGTAAAGTCACTTGAAGGCATGCATTATAGCGATTTTAAAGTGTTTTAAAACATGTATATATTTCTCTGCAGGTGAACATCACTATTCTGGACATAAATGATAACGCCCCCATGTGGCGAGATGAGCCGTATCAAGCAAACGTTGTGGAGATGAGTCCCATCGATACCGACGTCATTACTGTGAGTGCACTGATTTGACCTTTAACCTCTGAACTGACCTTTTAACCTTTTATTTTTAAGCAATATTTCCACAAATAGTTTTGGCTGCTTTGTCTGAATAATGGCTCAAATTTCAGTCTGTTTCTCACACAAAGTAATCATGTGGTTTTAAAAGACGACTTGTTTTATATTTTTTAATGGTGCGTATAGTTCTCCTTTAGGAACTAGACAGACGTGGTCTGGTTAGACACCAAAAAGGCTACATTCTCGTCATATCCCACCATCTGTATTGATTAGATGAAATGACAAGATATAGAAACTGTGCTTGTTTAGAGCAGAGGTTAGATCCTAATGTCAGCAGGTAAACATGGTTAGTGCTATTGATTTTATGACTAATAATATCTTATAGTTTCTCTCTGAGTCAAATCCCCCCCAGTACCCAGAGGAGCAAGTTTCCATCTCCTCTCCGTCTGGAGAAAACCCCTCCGTCCCAGCCTTTGATCGGCTGGAGTTTTGCAGCTGAATTCAAAGGGGGCTCTCACCTCGGTGTCCTTGGAACATTTAATGGAGCTCCTATATGCTCCTATTATTCTATTGCTTAAAGTATGTGAAAGTCCCATCTTGAGGGGGTTTTCCTCCTTTGGTGAATGAATAAATTAGTTCATATGTTAATGTCAGTCACCCCATCTCTACTTTCAGTCTCAGAAGGCACTCCCAGGGACCATTCACAAGTTAGTTAGAGGTTTCCAACATCTAAAACTCCAATATTATGAACTATCTTTAATGTCTTTGTATTGTATAAGTCATGGTTCATAAGGTAATCAGTCCACCAGGAAACAACATCTTGTTTACCAGGTTCCCAGACTGCCACAATGAGCTCACTTAAAGGTGAAGTGTGAGATTTATGTGCCACTCGTGGCACCAAACAGAACTGTTTTCATGACTGACTCATCCCGTTGGATTAGTGTTGTTATGTCTGGCTCTGGAAACTACACTCAGAAAGGGTTCTTTCAACGATCTTGAATCAAACAGTACTTTATAACTTGAAATAACCAGTTAAACAGGAGAATATTATCCATTAATTTAAGACATTTCTCCTTATAAAGAACCTCTTTGTCATGAAGGTTTTGTATATAAAATCGTGTCAAGAAAGTCGACATAAAATGTATTTTATGTTGCTTAATGTTTCACATGCAACAGGTGAGCCAGTGCACAATTATTTTAATTTTCTGTGCATATCTCAACTGTTACAATAAAACATCAATTGAGCGATATAACATGCATTTTTATTCAGTATATAAGCAATATTTAGCTTTTTATGTTAAATTGATACCATATTCTCAGGAAAAAAGGCGCTTATCAGTTATTTGTTAATCGATCGATAAGGTTGATCAACTAAGGATTAATGAATTAATCGATATTTGCATCCCTATGCCATACTCACAAAATTTCAGCCAGATCTTGTAAATTTTGCAAAAAATTTTTGTAAATCTGAACTGCGGGCGATATGTGTGGATGTCGCTTCTTAGGAAAAAGCGAACTGATGGAACTGATACTGTTTTACAGTGTATTGGAAAAAAACGATTGAATTTGAGATGTGGGTGTTCAAGTGAAGTGTGGTCAGTCCTTTGTTTAGAGACCTTAAACTCTGCTTGTAAACGGTTTATATTTGGATAAATATGCCACTGATTGTCCTTTAATTAATAAGCCAGTACTGAACTTCATTGGGAGGTTCCAATGACTAATTAAAATGTAGCCTAGAGTCAAGTGCATACTTGATTACCCTGCTGGACACTGTGCAGGAGAGAGAGAGAGAGAGAGAGAGAGAGATGAAACAGAACAAAGGAAGAAATGGATGGATAATTTTAATCACAGAACAGTGGATGTAAAAACTAAATGTTTGGGCCAACATTTTTAAAGAATGCTTTCAGCAACTTGTTGAATCAATGCCATGTAGAATTAAGGCAGTTCTGAAGGTGAAAGGGAGTCAAACACAGTTTTAGTATGGTGTTCCCAAAAATCCTTCAGGTGAGTGGTTGGTTAGGTGAGTACGATATCATTTTTTAAGCTTGACTGCCTCTCGTCCCTGTATTCTTTCATACACAAGGAGACTTTCTGCAAGGCATACAAATGACTGCAGGAGAACATATTTTAGCATCGCAAAATTACACACATCAACTTTAAATTGGTTTGTAAACATGCCCGAATAAATGTGTGTAAAATAAAATCCCTCAGAGTTCAATTCAATTAAATAAAGTTTACATTAGACCCTTGCCATTCTTCACCCGTTTAAACTCCCTCGAATCAATGAAGAACACACTCGTCTGGTCCTTCCTGTTTTAATAATTAAAGACTTACAGAACCTTTGTTCTCTAATGACCAATTAAGTGATTTTCAGTGCTTTCCACACCAGCGCGGTGAATAATTGATTGGCTCTTTTAGAAAAAAATAACAGCTAGGGTTTTATACAGTTATGCCCCATGCATAAATCTCCCATCATGCCATTCTGTGGGGAGAGGATTGGTGTGATTTAATTTCTGCACCTTGGAACTCTGTTTTGGGACTCATTTTTCTTTTTCTCTTCGCAGATATTAGCGGTGGACCCTGATTATGGTGATAATGGGACGGTGGTTTATTCCATAAATCCAGAGAACCCCTTCTACACCATCAACCGCAACACTGGGAAGATCCGCACCAGTGGAGCTGTGCTGGACAGAGAGAGTCAAAACGCCCGGTCCGCACAGCTTATGAGGACCATCGTTATCTCTGCTACCGACCGTAAGCAACTCTCAGCTGTCCCATAATGCCCCTCTCTCTCTCTTTGTCTCTCGCTCAGGACACAATAAAGCTAGTTTTACAGTCACCAACCTTCGGTGTCTTTAAATCATGCTAACACACCAGTCCTCCCATATCTCTAGTGTAAAGTTTGTATGTTGAGCACAGTATGTAAACTTTGTACACACTACAGTTAATACTTTAATACTTTAAGAATTATTCATGCATTAAATTTGCATTTGTAATGCTACAAATGATTTGTATTTCAATTAAATGCTGTTCTTTTGAACTTTCTATTCATCATATAGTCCTGAAAAATAAAATGTGATACATTAAGACTGAAGTAATGATGCTAAAAATTCAGCTCTGTCATCACAGGAATAAATTACATTTTAAAATATTTTTAAATTGAAACAGTTGTTTTAAATTGTAAAAATATTGTATTATATTCTGTATGTTTAATCAAATGTATAAGAGATTTAATTGAGTGTAAGAGACTCCTGACCTTTCTTTCACAAACTGAATGAAATCAGATTTAAAAAATCATTTAATTTTTTCCCCAAAAATCATTCAATCTAAGATATCCATGTGCTGTATTTTATAACCACAGTATTATATATCAAGGTATGTATTCATGTTGATCATTGCCTAATTCTATTTCACTTACTTACTAAAGCACTTACTTTTTTACTTACTCAAAAACTCAGATAAGTTATGCCATATGTGAGGATTCTCATTGTTGTGCTGCCCTCCTCAGGTGGGACTCCTCCACTGCGCTCTTCAGCCAGCACTACGGTGTATGTGAACCTCCTGGACCTCAATGACAACGACCCTGCCTTTCTCAACCTCCCATTTGTTGCTGAAGTACCAGAGGGGCTTCCTATTGGATCTTCTGTGTTCAGGGTTAGCGTTTGATTGATCCACAGGCACTGAAAGTTCACTGATTAAATATTCAACAGTCATTTCATTTTAGTATGCTGGCCCGGCGGGTTCATATCCTCATTTGAAATATCTTTTTTAAATAAACCAAGCAATAATTCCAACTGAATTTGACAGACAGTAATCACCAGTATGAAAATGAGCAGATTTGACCATTTGATAACTGTGTTGGGAAATTGCCTGGAAAAATGCATGGTATCCACAAAAATATTAAGCAGCACAACTGTTTTTAACATGGGCAATAACTAGAAAGTAAAGTTCGTGGGGAAAAACTTTTATGTTGGCTTGACAAAGCCTTAAGCTTCCTAGCATGATTTATCATGTTGTTAGCATGTCTTAGCATGTGTCTTATCATATTTTAATACATTGCTAGCATGAATCAACATGTTCCAAGCATGTTACTAGCATGAATTACCAAAACACTAAATGTTGCTGGCATGTTTTAGCACATTGCTAGATTGTTTGACCGTGTTACTGGTATGTTTTTTTGACACATTGTTAACATGTTGCTAGTATGTTTAAACGCATTGCTAATCATTAGCATGAATTAGCATGCTGGTAGTATGTTTTGTCTCCTTGTTAACATGAATTATCATGTTGCCAGCATGTGTTTGCACTTTGCTATCATAAATTACCATGTTGCTAGCATGTTTAGCACACTGTTAATATAAATTAGCATGTTTTTTGCACTAACAAAATTGAACATTTTGCTAACATGGTCGTCTTTGATTCAATGTTGTGGTCTAATGAAGTTCTCTTCTGCCCCCTGCTGGTTTCCTCCCTCAGGTGCAGGTGCAGGACCCTGATGAAGGTGACAATGGCGCGGTGACCATGGCTCTTCAGATGGGGATGCCGCGGCTGGACTTCAGGCTCAACATCACCACAGGAATCCTGTTTTCCACGGCAGTGCTGGACCGCGAGCAGATTGGCCAGTATTATCTGAGAATTATTGCGTATGACGCAGGCCAGTTTCCACGAACGTCCACGAGCACTCTCACCATCACAGGTACAGAGCAGGAGGACCACTCACTGTCTGGCTGTCAATACCTCTTGTTCAAAAGCAAATGCTGAATGCTGTTATTGTGTGTGTGTGTGTGTGTCTCTTTCTGTGCAGTTTTGGACATGAATGATGAGACGCCAACCTTCTATCCCAGCGTTTATAACGTATCGTTGGATGAGAACGTGCCCCGTGATTATGTGCTGGTCAGACTGAACTGCACAGACAATGACGCGGGTCTTAACGCAGAGCTCAGCTATTTTATCACAGGTCAGAGGGCAGAAGGTCACAGATCAGAGAGTGTGAATGAGTTTGTGCTGATGGAGCAACACTGTGGGATTCGGGCTGGGTCTGCTGTGACCCACAGTGACTCGCTTTCAGATGTGAATCTAAGGCTAAGGCAGCATATTAAGGCATCATAGCCTTAACAAAACAGCATTCTAGTTTCTAAATATACGCTAGGCCAACTTATTGAGCTCAGCATGCTCAGTTATGCATGAAAAAGGTCTGCAAAGATACAAAGTTTCTAAACTCCCTGAAATACGTAGTCTTCGGTTTTATTGTATTTTGTAATTGTATTTATTTATTTCTTCGGTCAGTCATTTGGAAATCATGTCATAAATCATGTAACACAAAAGAGAGAGAGAAAAAAAAAATAAAAAAAAAAAATAAAATAAAATAAAAAACAAACAAAAAATTCTGGGAACAAACACGCCGCAATATTCCTAATTTAAATAATTCCCGCCCAAGGCATACGCAAAATAAAGGGGCGGGGCCTAGATGAGTTGTGCTAGTAGTGTGTTAAAACTCGCAGTTATGGTAAGTGGTGTGAAATTTCCTAAACACACTCGAAGCGGTTGACCAATCACAACACACTGGTCCAGCCGTCCAATCAGAGCACATTGTGCTTTTCGGGAAGGAGGGGCTTAGAGACAGGAACTAAACAAAGTGTTACTGACAGAGAGGTGCTGCAACAATTTCAAATATGTACCAATATGTAACATGCTAATCTTAAACTCCATTGAAATCAATTGTGCGCTAGTGTGACAACACAGGTAGCACAGTCAAAATCAGTCGATGTCCCATCTTTGAAGGCAGCACACTGGGGTTTGGGACAGAGCCGTGATTTGTGATTTCTCAGCCTGTGTTTCTTTGTCCCAATAGGAGGGAACCAAGATGGAAAGTTTAGCGTGGGCTTCCGGACCGGTGTGGTACGGACCGTGGTGGGTCTGGATCGGGAGACTCAGGGCTCGTACAGGCTGGTGATTGAAGCGATTGGTGAGTTTCATATAGGTGTTAAAACAACTGGTTATACATGTGTGCATGCATATGTGGTATGATCTTTTGCAGTTTCCTGTGTAAATGACATTGAATTGAAAGAAGTGTTGTGGTTTCCTGTTTTAGCTGTGCAGCTTTCAGACATACACCAGCTGTTCTAATACCAGTTTGGTGAGCTTCTATGAAAATACGCTGGCCACTTTTTTTCAATACTGAGAAGCGCATCATTGCACTTATCTGATAAGTAAAAACACTCTTGCAAGTCATTTTACATAAAAAATAAAATAAATAAAAAAATATAAAATAAGAATAAAATATATTCTTGTATATATACACTCACCGGCCACTTTATTAGGTACCCCATGCTAGTAACGGGTTGGACCCCCTTTTGCCTTCAGAACTGCCTCAATTCTTCGTGGCATAGATTCAACAAGGTGCTGGAAGCATTCCTCAGGGAGTTTGGTCCATATTGACATGATGGCATCACACAGTTGCCGCAGATTTGTCGGCTGCACATCCATGATGCGAATCTCCCGTTCCACCACATCCCAAAGATGCTCTATTGGATTGAGATCTGGTGACTGTGGAGGCCATTTGAGTACAGCGAACTCATTGACATGTTCAAGAAACCAGTCTGAGATGATTCCAGCTTTATGACATGGCGCATTATCCTGCTGAAAGTAGCCATCAGAAGTTGGGTACATTGTGGTCATAAAGGGATGGACATGGTCAGCAACAATACTCAGGTAGGCTGTGGCGTTGCAACGATGCTCAATTGGTACCAAGGGGCCCAAAGAGTGCCAAGAAAATATTCCCCACACCATGACACCACCACCACCAGCCTGAACCGTTGATACAAGGCAGGATGGATCCATGCTTTCATGTTGTAGACGCCAAATTCTGACCCTACCATCCGAATGTCGCAGCAGAAATCGAGACTCATCAGACCAGGCAACGTTTTTCCAATCTTCTATTGTCCAATTTCGATGAGCTTGTGCAAATCGTAGCCTCAGTTTCCTGTTCTTAGCTGAAAGGAGTGGCACCCGGTGTGGTCTTCTGCTGCTGTAGCCCATCTGCCTCAAAGTTCGACGTACTGTGTGTTCAGAGATGCTCTTCTGCCCACCTTGGTTGTAACGGGTGGTTATTTGAGTCACTGTTGCCCTTCTATCAGCTCGAACCAGTCTGGCCATTCTCCTCTGACCTCTGGCATCAACAAGGCATTTCCGCCCACAGAACTGCCGCTCACTGGATGTTTTTTCTTTTTCGGACCATTCTCTGTAAACCCTAGAGATGGTTGTGCGTGAAAATCCCAGTAGATTAGCAGTTTCTGAAATACTCAGACCAGCCCTTCTGGCACCAACAATCATGCCACGTTCAAAGTCACTCAAATCACCTTTCTTCCCCATACTGATGCTCGGTTTGAACTGCAGGAGATTGTCTTGACCATGTCTACATGCCTAAATGCACTGAGTTGCCGCCATGTGATTGGCTGCTTAGAAATTAAGTGTTAACGAGCAGTTGGACAGGTGTACCTAATAAAGTGGCCGGTGAGTGTATATATATACATACATACAATAATTCTGACTTTATAACTTTATAATTTATAATTTATTTATTTATTTATTTTATATTATATTAATATTTCATATATATATATATATATATATATATAGTATATAATATTTTTTTAGCAACACATTTTACACCAATACAAGTAAATGTGGGTCTTTCATGGGTCTTTTTTTTTAGCACAGTCATGTTGCTTTTGCTTTGCACAACTATTGGTTATTTAAAAATGACTAGTATTACCATGATGCAACACCAGTGAAGATATTAGTTATCAAGGCTTTATTGGTCCTTCATTAGTCAAGGGTTTTATTGTGCATTTTTATGTTGCTATCAGTGTTCCCATGGTCATGGAAAACTTGGAACTATTGGCTATATTGCAAATTAGAATGCATATGATATAAATTAGAATCTATAAAATAGTAATATTAATAAGTAAATTAATAAGTTAATAAGTAAATAAAATAATAATATTTTAAGTATGCTTTGTTTCAAGTTCCAGGTCTTCTTTAGTTTAAAAATAAATTATAATTTATAAATTAATAAAAATAATTTAAAAATCCTTATCCAATAATCCTAAATGACTAGACATGTCAGAGAAATCATTCAACCTTGATCTTGTGCTGTATTTTATTTATACTGAGAGTAGCATTTCCTAGCCGTATTGTCCAGACTGTTGATGGTTCTCCTGTAGATAATGGTCCAGCGGGAGGACGGAGAACAGGCACAGCTACAGTATATGTGGAGGTGCTGGACGTCAATGACAACAGGCCTATATTTATCCAGAACAGCTATGAGACCAGCGTCCTGGAGAACATATCAAGAGGAACTAGTATATTACAGGTACACATGCACATATTCACTGTTCTATATGAAAACTATGCCCATGAAAAGTTTTTTTTTCTTCAGTATTGGTGTTATGAAGTAGCTCATGGAGTTGTAAGTTACATTGTGTTTTTCTTTGTCTGTAACCATGGCAGCAGTGTCATGTCATACCAGTTGTTTTCTGTGATGTCATGTTCCAGTGTGCAGATAACCATCTCTAGACTGCCAACAATAGAAAGCTTAATGGAGTTGAGATCAAAATATTCGTTGTGTCTCGCCATTGACTACCATACAATATTTTTTTGAAATAATGTGATGACTCGAAGGGAAGGGACTTAGGCTCTCTATTGACCCTTCGCAGGGAGTTTGATTGACAGGCGATCTGACCAATCATAATCAGCCATTTTTGTCAGACAAAGCAGTCAGGAGAGTTAGCAGATTAACATTGGAGGATTTGAACATGCTGACGTCTTTCTACGGTTAAAACAACGTTCCTTATGTTCATTCATGTTTGTTTGATGCTATAAATGAACTAGAAGGAAGAGAGGATCAGTTCACAAACAGCTTTAACTACAGCGATCTGTCAGACACATTAAAGAGCCACAAAACGCTATTCATTGATTAAATTTCTTATAAGTTGAGACTTAGTTTCATATCAAAAGTAACCTGGTCTGTCCTGTCTGTCAGTGTGTTGTCTCTGAGATGTGTGTGTGAGAGCGACGTGGCTTGTCGGACATAGCAACAGTAACTAAAGGGGGCGGGTTTTTGTGAACAGTCAATTGCCACAATAGGGTAACCATGACGGTTCTTCAAAAGTTGAATAAATAAATGTGTTTTTTTTTGTTTTCAAAGAAAAAATATGATGAATTGAAATAATTTTTTATATGCAAAACTTTTTTTGAGTTTGCAAGAAACAAATCCTATAGTTTGGACACCGAAAGCACACTTAAACATGTATCAAAACCATAAACAAGTGACAATAAGATTTTACTTTTTTTTTTTTTTTTTTTTATATAAAGTAAAATGTTTCACAAAAACATGTTTTAAATGAAAAAAAAAAAAAAAACGAGATATTATAGTATTATAAAAACGAGATATTATAGTCCGACTATTCAGTAGTTTAAAATTAGTACAAGCTCGATGCGATGACATTCAGGCATTTTTAAAGACGCAAAGGTACAAATACCCTTGGGGCCACTGTACACATAAACATAAAGTAGATCAAATGAATGTGGATTTCCTCCAAATAAATACAGTAGTTCTGTAGTTAATGCCCTATCAAAATGGCCACCAATTACTCCAGGGTGCAGGATGTGATGTTGTCCAGCTGTTCGTAAAGTTGCGGCTACCGTATGGTGTGATCGTTGAGTCACATCTTGTTTCGATTGACGCTAATGGTGAATGAAATGAGTTGTCTTCCTGCACACAGTCCGATCTCTTTCAGTAGTGATAGCCTATTATTACAGGGCTTGCTCTCAAGTTTGCATTAAAACACTGAATGTCTATAGAGGTACGTCCTATTAGACAGGGGTCATATGTATCACTTAAGACGCAAATAGTGTTCCCATAAAGTTTTAATACACATGGAGAGCATTATTACACATGGACCAGATGTAAACAACATGTAAACAACACTAACAAAAAACAAATCAATTGAACTAAAACTAATATATATATATATTCAGTTGTTTTTTTAGTTGAAAGTTGAAATTAGTACTTTCAACTAAAACAAATTTGTTTTCATTTTTCATCTAATATTTGTATTTAACTCCAGATTTATTTCAATGAACAAAAAAGTTTGAAATACTTGTAGTTTTAGTTTGTTAATATCAAACCGTGGCAACATCATATGCATCCCTCAAAGGAAAAGATAATCCCAGAATGCATTGCATTGAGCTGACAATGGCAGACAAGTTGATAGAAATGTCAATTCTAAACACACATTTATTTCAGTTCCTGAAAGTTTCGATAAAATCAGTTAAACCTAAATAAAACTAATTGTATAGTGTATGTTATGCATTTTTTTGGAATCAATTTGAGTCTAGTTTCCTGTAGCTGGAGTTTCTCCCTATGAAGTGCACTTTGATTCAGTCACTTAAAAGGCAGGTGTCTATGTAGGCAGGAGACCGCAAGGTGACTTCTTAGCAACAGAGCTCAAATCTCGGTGGCATACTGCAGCAGAGACGGTATAGTAATATATGTGTAGGAGTCGTGTGTCTTTGACTCTGCCGGCGGCATTGACCCTGATTGCTTCCGGCTCTGGGCTACGTATGGCTGAACGGGTCTTCTGAACGCCGGCGTGGAGGAGAACGACTGCCTCATAGAGCCCAAGCGCTTCCAGAGCTTCAGCTGGGGCTCGCTGGACGGAGTCTGACCCCCCGAGAGACCGCCGTCCCCATCCACACCCCACGACCCTCCCGTCGAGCAGCACATCGCCAGAACAATCACACAGCCCCCGAACACAGCGAAGAGACACGCGATGATGATGATGGTCAGGAGGGGGTGTTGAAGATCCAGAGGTGGAGATGTTGGGGAGACGGGAAGTGAGAGATTGGAGAGGGACAGATTGAAGGGAACGTCCATTTCGTTCCTGGATCTGTAGAGAAGCAAAACCGGGAGTTCCTGTTAAATCTGGGTCAAGTGGAGGTTGTTTTTGTGACACTTTATGTTCAGGCTTGTGCAAATGTGTGAATGTGTGCTTGTACGAGACGCATGCAAGGTTCCAGGATGTGGTTAACAGGTGTGTGTGTGTGTGTACGCTTAAGAAAGAATCTTTAATTTCTTAATTATTTGTTTTAAGCAATGATACAGCAGGCAATTGGACACTTTATTTTTTAAACCTAAAACATCAACTGTGTAAACGCTTTGAGTTTGTATGGGTCACAGTGGTCTGAGATGTGACTCAAAGCTAATCATTGCACAATTCAAGTATGTTTCATTTTTTTAAAGACCCTCACATGTGAGTTTTGGACTGCCTCACACTGCGCTCAAATAATCTGCAATTAAAGGTTTCTTATGAAGCTCATGATCTCATTTCATAAACTCTGTAATTACAATTTTTATTTTTATATAGTTTATCTCATTTGTGTCTAATTTATTTCTCTTAGTGTTGGAATTGTTAACTAAAACGTAGCTGTTTTAGTTAATAGAAGTAAAGCTGAAATCAAATAAAATGTAAATACTAGTTAAACAACTTAAACTTAAATTATAAATGTAATGCTTACTGGGAAAAAATACGTTTGAAAAACTAAATACTAAAACTGAAATGAAAGTAAATTAAAGCTAAATAAAAATAATTTATAAAAACAAAAAAAACTAATAAAAATTACACAAAAAAATGTAAACTAAAATTAAAATTGAAAAAGCTAAATATTTATATATCCTATAAAATAGGCTAATGCTAAAAAATCTTCTCCTAATGATTCGAAACATCTGAGATGATTCTCAAATGAGCAATGAAAGCGCAACATCTGAGCACATTTTCCTGTAGGTAAACACAGTGCGGTTTGTGGTGGCGGGACTGAACATCTACAGTACACACATATTATCGTCATCACCATCTATCTCTACACACGCAGCTTACGGTGCTTCTCTGCAAGACTAGCAAAATGACTGAGCGTTTTCTGTAAAGAAAGGTCAAGTATAGTGGATTTATATTGCACTCTATCAAACTCTTAATCATAAAATCACACACACACACACACACACACACACACACCCAGCAGGGGCAGATTAAGGTCTACACAGGCCCCTCTGCTCAGGGATTTCCCACACACACCCAATACAAACACATGCGCGTGACCCAAATGATGTATCACTAATAATGGCAATTCAGGTGAGCTTTGTTTTCAGACATAATTTTCTTTTAGGTTTTGCATTTGGAAATACAGCATTTATAGCCATTATTAAAGACTACTTTTTGTCAAAGTTGTGTTTTTTTTTTTTTTTTTTACAAATCAAATATCAAAAAAATCCTTAAAACAAGATAAATTCCCTTGAAGAACAGCACTGCATAAGATACTGATTTGTTTTCAGGACACTGTATGATGATATGATCAGTAAATTATACAACATTCGGTATTTGTATAGTGTTTTTTTCAGTTTTTAACAGACGAAATACACCGATACCACATTATTTTTATATCATAGCATTGCTTCTAAAGTAAATGTATTTTATTTTTATTTTATTTTAATGAAAAGAAAAAGACCAATTAAATTAAGTTATTTTGTTTGCAGTGTATGCAAGTTAGTTGAATTTAAACACTTGTAATTGTAATTGGATCTCCATCACATAACCTCAATAACACATGTTCATTTACGTACAAGGCGAATGCATGTGCTAAGCATACTCGCATGTTTATGTACTTTCTGGCCTACATCGCTCCAATAAACACATTTGAAATGGTATTTGACATTAAAAATGTTGGTGCCCCATTAAGTGAGCGTTCAGATGAGAAATGTGGCCAGTTGGTTTTCTTTTGGGGAATTTGCAAGCAATATCGGGTCTGTTAAAATAACTCTCAATCCATCTGAAATACACACAAACACAGAGTAGCACCCGACCCAAGTCACCAATTACTCTACCTATCTGCTCCTAAATGTCAGCATGTTAAATTCTGAGCACAGAGTGTGACTTATCGCTTTGATGAAAACACATTGAGACATGAAATTATTCTTCATCTTAAATGCCACAAACAGGCTGAAAAGGCCACTCAGACCAGAACTATTGTTACTGAAACACTTCATTAGTAACCGCAGTACAAATCTGCTGAAATGCAGTTATGCACACATCCTCACATTTTTGCTTTGCTTAAAGCAGGCAGCTAGAATCTGTTTTATACTTCTTCTTTTTTTTTTTTTTTTTTTTTTTTTCATGGTGCACTAGTCTTTGGTGGGAAAAACACAATTTGCAAAAAAAACAAAAAGAAAAAAATTCTAATACAAATCCCATTTATGTGGGATTTCGAATCTAATTTAAAGTGTATTTTAAGTACTTTTCAGTAAGAACAGTGAGATATGAAGTAGGTTTGGTCTCTTGTTTTGATTCAGACTATCGTTCATAAGTTTTACGTTTTTAAAAGTCTGTTATGTTTTAAAATGTCATTTATGTTTTTAAATCATTTATGCTATTTCTGTAAATTTACAGCATCATTAATCCAGTCTTCTGTGTCACAGGATCCTTCAGAAAACATTTGAATAAGCTTGTTTACTGCCCAAGACTCATTTCTTATTATTATCATTGTTCAAAACACTCAAAACTCAAATGTATTTCAGCATTATGCAATTCTGTTATTCCAATTTGATATACTTACATTGGGTCAACTTAATGTATTAAGGTCAACTATACAATATAATATAGTGTCACACTAATACATTCCTAGACTATAACCAAGTAATAGCTAATAATCTTCTCCACAATGGTAACACACTGTAATTTAAATGGTATTAATAATTGCAATGTAATTGAACAATAAACACACTTACGCACTCAAGTCAAGCCTTCCCCTTTTCTAATTTTCTCAAAAACACTTACAATTTAAACATTTATTCTCTCTTAATTCAGCCTTATGCAAAGCATGCTGGGAACTGACAAGCGCCGCCCAGTTTCAGTTAATGCAACATCATTCATGTAATCCAACACAAACAGATTAAGTAAACTTAAATTTTACATATTTAAACAGATTAAACACAATCAAATTAAGTTTGGACAAAATGTATTGCAATTGTGTTGCTTAAGCTCATTTGAACAAGCAGCAAAAATCATTTTTGGAAACCATAATACATTTTTAGTTTGATGAATAGAAAATTCAAACGAACAGCATTTATTTGAAACAATCAATCTTTAGTGACACTTTTGATCAATTGAATGTTGCCTACTAATGTGTTCCCATTTATAGTAACCTTTGTGGTATTTGTTGTGAATATTTAAGTGATTTATAGTCAGTGATTTCAGGCAAAGCGTATAATGCAAACGTGGTTTATGTTGTCGCGTGTACTTTATGGCTGACATCATGGCAAAACATAAAATGGATTCGGCCCTGCTGAATAAATGTCCATGCTGGTCTATGCTGGTTAGTGTGGGTTTGGTGCTGCTGGACCAGTGTAGCCATGTTGCTCAGCAGAACAAAAATGAAAAATCCCGATAGGGAAACCAGCATCCAAAACAAAACATATCCTGGTGTTTTCAACAGGGGTCCAACGAATAGCATTTATTTCTCAGTTTATTCTTTGTGGTTCAACTTTACCTTTAGCGTTGGACGCGATTAGTGACTCCTCCAAAGTTCCTCTTGTTTCAAATCACGTTGTCACCAAGAGCGTTGGAGATGAGACAGCTGGAAGATGGGGATCAGAACATGTGCAGAAAGAGCAACTAATATCCGTTCAGAGAGACTCTAAATCAACCTCTCCTTCTTTTTTGACCATAGCTGTGTGTTTCATGAGCTAAAAATCCATTCTGAGCCAAACTTTCAGCCTCAAGATATAACCCCCCCATGTGATGGTATGGTCCGGTCTGCCTGTTCTATTCATCTCTCTCCAAGAGACCCCCCTAGACCCCTTCTTTCTTTCTCTCCCCATCCTCCTCCTCATCCCCTACCTCTTTCTTCAACTCTTCACATCTTTTTATAAAGCTAATGAGTCTGAAGGAGGGGCCGTCCTCCTCCCTGTCAGTAGGATTTGACTAATATATGGATGTATTCAGTGTGTGCTAAATGGTTTTACTCTTTAATATGATGAATGTATGTGTGTAAATGTATTTAGGAACAATTGCTGATCTGTGTTTCCATGATTTAAATGATCATTGAATTTGTATTTGTGCTTACAAGTTACTACTATGACAGCAATTTAAATTCCCCGGTGTTAAATTTAACACCGCTCGGTGTTTATATGGGAACCACCAGCAGGGTGTTAAAAGTAACACTGATACAGTGTTAAAGTTAATGAGATAATTAAGTGAATAATTGAGTGATGATTGAGCATTATTGAAGACACCTGATGTTAACAAGCAGAATCACTGAAGGACAAAATCACAAATTGTAAGTCACCGTTATGGAGATCAGTGTTTGCTTTAGTTGGGCTCTTGACACTTATACTTTCACTTTAACTTTGTTTGTCTGCTTTTATTAATTTATAACAGTCAAATGAACAAATAAAACTGTGATCTGATATTGTTGGTTATGTTTTCACATAATCATGCTGTTATCTGAAAAATCTAACTTTTCAGATGAATTGGCTTAACTTGTTAGTAACAGTTTAGTGATTGTGCAGCATATCCGTATTTTTCTTTTAACCGAAAATATTTAATAACAACTATTCTGATCAAATCACTTTCATCTTTATTTAGAAACACAGACATAAATAGTCAGCCTGTGTATCTCAACCATGGTGACATTAATAATCCTTGTTTCCACCAATCACAACTCATTAATGGCTCCCATCATGCATTGCGGTATGAATAAATTATGATCTGAATTGTCTATGTAATTTACTTTTCCTAATTGAATATTCTGCTCGTCACCATTGTTGAGAAGAACTTGTAGAAATCCATTACATCATATCTGACATTCTGGATATTTATGTACAATCTCAGTTATGTTGTGACCTACAAAATTAGCCACAAACATATATTTCAAATGAATGTCATAATATGACCAACACCATCATATAAATTGTCTCTTTGTTCATCTGGCAGGTATAACTCAGATGCAACAGCCAATTCAAATGTAAAGTTAATAATAAAAGGGTCAAGAGCCCAACTAAAGCAAACACTCACCTCCATAACGGTGACCTAAAAGTTAGGTTTTCTCCTTGTAATTCTGCTTTAGGTGTCTTCAATAATGCTCAATCATCACTCAATTAATCACTTAATTATCTCATTAACTCTAACACTGCCTCAGTGTTACTTTTAACACCCTGCTGGTGGTTCCCATATAAACACCGAGTGGTGTTAATTTAACACCAGGGAATTTACTGTGAAGGTGAACCGTCTCGCTTCTGTTCCACTTGTGGCACCAAACACGACGAGCCATATTTGAACTCATAAAAACATTCTATATTAATGCGACTTTGCTTAGCAAACTTAAACAGTCAGCGGTTTGGCTATAATGAACTATTTATATTGCGTACTTCCTGGAATTATTTATTCCAATCATTTTTGTAGCTATTTATTGAATTAGTGTTTTTTTTGTGTGTTTTTTTTCATATGCTGTTGCATTCAGCAATTTCAGGCTGTGTTTTACCGCAGTTAAGAAGTTTTAGGTTTAAACAGTCTTTAAATAGAGTGCAAGAGTCAGGTTCTGGGAGTAAAAACGTTGTGTTTTCTCCATAAGGAAATTGATTTTGAAAGATAACTTAAACCTTTAAGACCTACTGTGGTTGATAATCCAGATTATTTCAGTTTATTTTTAAGATAAGCATGGAACTTTTGGTAAAAACTTCATTGCCCATGCTACTGTATGAAATCTACCAATCAGAGCTGAAAAAAAGCAACACACTCCAAAATAGCTCTTTAGCCCCGCCCACTCACATGAAGCACTGACGTAATCATAGTGATCTAAATACGCTCTCAAAATACTGAAATACTTTTCGCAATAAACATATTATTTTAAACTTCTATATTTTAATACATATAATCAACATTTGTAAATGAGTATCGCTTTTAATGTGATTATGCTGTTCGCAACGCTTCGTGGGATTGTAGTTCTTTCCGTCACTAAAGCTAAGTACACAGTCTTGTACCTTTTGCGTTTTTGTCTGATTTTCTAAAACTTTTTTGCTTCAAATCAAAGTTAGTAGTGTTGTGATTCACCTCATAGCTGGCTTGGTTCGTTACTTATAACTCTTTACGATGATTATTTTAAAATCCCTATGGGAAAAATTAATTAACAAAAGTAGTTCCAAAACTAGCGGCGCTAAAAAAGGGGGCGGGCACTGTTGCACTCTGTAGTCATCATTACATAGATAGCCCCGCCCCAAATTCACACTATTGGTTGAGCCAAAGATTGTATTTTATTTGGTGCTGCTCATAATGAAGAAATGCACACATTACTTGAGACGGTGGAAAGGAGGAGTCCACTTGTAGTCTGTTTGAGAGTTTGAATGTGTTTTGTTCAATACGTTATATAATATCGGTTAGGTGTTTGTGGGTGTGGAGTTTAAGTGTTACTTTCACTCTCATTTTTTAGCAGTACATGTGTTTGTATGTTTTGTGGTTACATGTGTTTGTGTGTGTCTGCAGGTTCAGGCCACAGATGCGGATCAGGGGGAGAATGGAAGAGTTCTGTACAGGATTCTCTCCGGTAACTATTCTTCCTGTTTCCTGATGTCGCACCTCAATGGCTTGATCAGATGCGCTCCCACTATGTACTATACTAACTAATTAATATTATTCCAATATATATATATATGAAGAGTTCAGATGCAAAAGCCTCTAAGTGCCATTTGAAATTTTCTTCTTTAATGATGATTTTTATCAAACTTGTATATTTAAGTTCAGTAATTTTACTTAAATGGCAATGACAATTAATTGCCATTTAAGTGAAATTACTGAACTTAAATATACAAGTTTGATAAAAATCATCATTAAAGAAGAAAATTTCAAATGGCATTTAGAGGCTTTTGCATCTGAACTCTTCATATATATATATATATATATAAATCTTTTTATAGGAATATTTTGAGTATTTTCAGAATGTCTTTGGACAACATCTCTGTAAACTGTAAACATTGCCACAAGCAGTGTTAATCGATTTATAAACAGATTTTATTTTATTTTAGAAAATGTATTTTATTATTTCTTTCTCCTAGTTTTTTCGTGGTTAAACATGACTATACTTCACATGTTTAGACAAATAGAGACAAACCCTGCCAGGAATACAAAGTTCTGTCATGAATCTCTAGAAGGCGCATGCTTAAGTCCTTAACCCAATCGCTTGCAATCACATCATTCTTTATAGAATATTAATTTGAATTAATATATTGGTCACAGCTGATTGGTTCCCGCTGTATTGGTAGCCAATGAGCTTGCTTCTCAATATTCAAATTCTTCCCTATTGTTTGCAGCACACTTTCAGAAACCTTCACCTTCCCCAGCTCCACCTGTATAGATCTGCTGGGGTAATTCATGTATGCTTTTACAGCAGAAACAACATCACTGTAACAGATCTATTCAGCCAAGACCAAACACATTAACATTCTCAGACTCATTACCATGCCAGTCTCTCAGAGATTTGTCATGACAGAACATAAATTATCATTATTGTTTCCAACCTCGGACTTCATGTGAAGTACTTTGGCAGGAAGGCTCATGTGTGTGTGTGATGTCTGCTCTCTATAGGAAACAATGGTCAGTTTAGCATGGACAGTCTGTCTGGACTCATCAGCAGAGGAACTGTGGCTTTGGACCGAGAGACGCGCAGCTCTCATGTGCTGGAGGTGGAGGCCTACAACAGTGACCAGGGCAGCATGCGCAGCTCTGTTAGGGTGTGTTTGTGTGTGTGTGTGTGATCCTGGTAAAACATACTTTGTGATGTCCCCTTGAGGAAAACAGCTTGTAAATCAAACTGAATTATGTTTTTGACAAAGTAAAAATGCAGAAAGTTTTCTGTGAGGATTGTGTTTAGGGGTAAGGTTAGGGATAGAATATACAATTTCCACAGTATAAAAAATCATCATGGAAAGTCCCCATAAAACATATAAAGTGGTTGTTTGTGTGTGTGACCTTGTGACCTTAAAAGTAAAATCATGTTCAGTGTTGTGTGGCCAGATTTGATGTAATCCTTAAGGTATTGATTAAATGGTGAAAAGTGTGCATTGCCTATCAGAAAGGTTGCTAAAACATACCTAATTATTTGAAGGGCTCATTTACACATGCCACCTGTATCTGGTTGTTGTCCACATACACATTGAAAACACAAGTGTAAAGACATTTTTGATCGGAATGTCATTTGACTGAACATGTTACTGTACATGCATTAACAACGACTGACGAGGAACAAGAGAAACACAAGCTAACAAGACACACCTAAAACAATCAAGACTATAAAAATGGCACTCGGGACAGGAAGTAACATAACAATCCAAACACAACACAGGGAACATGTAACATAAACATAACAGAGATCTTATATAAAAAAAAAATGACATGGTAGTAGACCGAAACAAATTCCTGAAGTTATCGAAGCTTTCAAAGAGACAACACACATTTTTTTTATTTTATTTAATCTGGCTAAAAATGTCATGTTTAATTCTAGAAAAAAAGGAAGTGCTGAATGTAATGTGTGTGTTGTGAATCAGACTGATTGTGAGTTTGCGTTGTAGGTGATTGTGTACGTGGAGGACGTGAATGACGAGTCTCCAGTCTTCACTCAGTCGCAGTACAATCGTCTGGGGCTCAGAGAGACTGCTGGGATTGGTACATCTGTGGTAGTGGTCCGAGCTACAGACCCCGACACAGGTACACAACACATCATACAAGCATTTCCTCTCTTCTTGACTTTTGTTATTTTGTTTCTGACCACACCACTTCACTGAGAAGATAAATTGACAGAGGGGAATATCTATGGTTGCTAATATTGTGTATTCATAACACTTCTCATTTATTATTTTTAAACTGTTTTGAATTCCGCAACTCTGTGAGTGTCATACATTTAACATGGCTCAAGCTGTGTTGTATTTTTCCATTGATTCTTGATGCTAAACTATATCACAACATTTCTGTTGCACTTCTGCTTGTGTCCATTACTGCTTCCCTGTTTCACTTCCTCGTGGAGGATGTCCAGCATGGCATAAGCTGGACAAACGTCTTCCCATCTGCGTCTTCGACGGCCTCTGGCTCAGATTTCAGTGTGCTGGAGTCTTTAGACCTGTAGATGAATGTTGAAATGAAATCAAGCTGCTTTTAGAAAGCGTAGTCAGCTACACTACAAGCTTCTAACCACATATAACTACATAGGAGAACTAAGAGGAGGAACAGGAAAATATAAGCAATTATCAGTGTAGCACTTCATAAATAAAAACATGTAAATAAATATCACTTTTCAAATTGATATTTCATAAAATGCTTGTTATAAAAATGTATACATTGATTAAAGCGATTTTTCTGTTTTTAATGGATTATATATTTTTCCTTTATTTTATTTTTTAAGTGGATCACCATAGAAATTAACAATGGGTATTTTTGTGCAATATAATTCTCACACAATGGTTATTAAAAGCAAAGATTTAAAATAATTGTTATTATTTAATAAAACTAAATTTATTTAAAAAACCATTCAAAAAGCAGAGGCTGGTAAGATTTTTTTTTAAGAAGTCTCTTATGCTCACACTGTAAAAATATATTGTTGGTTTAACTTAAAAGAGTAATTAACCTGGTTGCCTTAAATTTAAATTCATTGAACTGGAAAAAGTGAGTTAATACAATGAAGGAGAATGATTTAATCATCAGAAACTCAAAATTATATGTTATCTGAACTAAATAAATTATTTAAGCTGATTTGACAAAAGAAAAAATTTTGTGATTACTAAACGGTAAAAATAATATTGTTGGTTTAACTTAAAAAAAGTAAGTAACCTGGGTTACCTTAAAATTTTAAGTTGATTGAACTGGAAAAAGTGAGTTAATACAATGAAGGAGATTAATTTAATCATCAGAAACTCAAAATAATAAGTTATCTCAACTAAATAAATTACTATAAAGTTGATTTGACAAAAGAAAAGGTGTTGTGATAACAAATCTTGAAAATATTTTGTACAGTGCACTAATGCTCAGTAAAAACATTGTAAATATTATTAATTAAATGAAATATTATTAAAGTATCTGTTTTTAATTTCAATGTATATTATGAAATAATTAATAATTTATTCCTGTGATGCAAAGCTGAATTTTCAGCATTATTAATCCAGTCTTCAGTGTCACACAGAAATCATGCTGAAACATTTATTAATATTATCAATATTGAAAGAAGTCTTTGCTTAACCTTTTTTCAGGTTTCTTTGATGAATAGAAAGATCAAAAGAACACCATTTATTTCAAATAGAAATATTTTGTTACAATATAATTGTTGTTTTTTTTACAGTCATTTTAAATCAATTTAATCCATCCTTGCTAAAAAGTATTAATTTCTTTTAATAATATTTATTTTTTTTTTTTTGCTGTCTCTGTTTTTAGGGGATGGGGGAGCTGTGGCATACGCTCTGGTCTCCGGTTCTGACCGTAAGTTTGAGGTGGATATGAGTACGGGGCTGGTGACCACAGTGGATTACTTGGACTACGAGACCAAGACCAGCTATTTAATGAACGTCTCAGCCACGGATCAGTCAGCGCCGTTCCACCGTGGCTACTGCACCGTTTACGTCACTTTACTCAATGAACTGGACGAAGCCGTAGCCTTTCTATCAGCCGGATACGAGATATCACTGAGGGAGAACATCGCCACAGGAACGGAGGTGGTCCAGGTGAAGGCGCAGTCGGCTGATAACCTGAACCAGCTGACGTACCGCTTCGACCCCGACACCTCACCTGCTGCCCTGGCGCTCTTTAAGATCGACAGCATCACGGTGAGGAAACTCCATATTAGGGTTGCCAACTTTCTGATTTCGAAATAAGGAACGGGTGGGGGGGCTATCACGAAGGCTATCATGATCATTTTGTCAACAATCAACCATGGATTTATTTAGTTTATAATTTATTTAATTTTTAGTTGAATTAATCAACAGATCAGCATGGCTATCTGTTTTCTCCTAAATAAAAGCTCAAGGGTTTATTTCTTGTAAGTGTAGAAATAGGACAAAAGTATTTTAATTTTCCTATATTATAGTGTAATGTTGATTAAAATATACTTTTGAAATATTCATTTTCATTTATATAGTAGCCTATATAGGCTATATGGATTTTACGTCATAGGAACAATTACATAAATCATTATTACATTATTATAATAATTGTTTGGCATCTGAAAAAACCATTGATAATGTAATGCATATTAGTCTGTCATGGATTTGCACTGAACTGATTCTCAAAAATACGGAACAAAGTGTGTTCCGGATCAGTTCAATACGGAACAAGACTTTTATGTGACAAATACGGAACGATTCCGTATTATACGGAAAGGTTGGCAACCCTACTCCATATAACCGAGTAGAGTTTCACTACTGAGAGTGATGTTACTCAAAAAGAATAACACTGGATGTGATAAGGCTCAAACAACTGCTCGTTTTAACTAATTGACTAGTCAGCAGGTCAATGTTTGACTCATGCAAATGACTCACCATACATCATGCAGCTTCAGCTGTTTTCTTTTTAGCAAAGCTAGCAATAAAAATGTAGTACTTTCAGATCCGTTTAACACATTTATTGTGCTTAAATCCTTCCAAATAATGTTTTCCTCAAAATCAGTGCAGAAAATGTGGAAAATCCCTTTTTTTTTTCACCTAGAATTGAGCAATGAAATTAAAACATTCAATGTCTTTATGGAATGCTGAATCTGGACACATGACCCTGAAGCTAAAATCTTATTGGTCGGTAAAATTTTCTTGCAAGATGAACAAAAAAAAATCAAGCTAGACAGTAGGGAAAAACGTAAACTTCTACATGCATGGGAATTAACTTCTTTTTACAGCCTCTTTAGGTGTGAAATGTCCTTATTTTCTTCCCCTTGTGTGTTTAAAATACATTTTTTGGCTCATTTGATTATAATCTCAGCTAACTATACAAGTGTAATACTCTCAAGTCTGATTATTAACACATGGATTTTCTTATATCCCTCCAATTCAGATTTGTCCCACCAAAATCAGTGTAGAAAATGACGCTAAATCTTATTGGTCAGTAAGGCATTTTCTTGCAGGGTGAACAAAAAAATCAAGCTAGACCGTAGGGAAAAATGACATCACGAGTTAGAATGGGTTTCCTTTACCAGCTTTTCACAGCAAAAATGAATAGACCGAGTGGTCAAAACCTTGCTGACTGGACTGACTAACTTTGGTCAAAATGATTCCAGTATAATTCAGTCCTGAAAAGATTAAGTTCATTTCTTTACTTGCATTGTGTGTGCTCTACAGGGCCGTATTACTGTGACGGGACAGTTGGACAGAGAACAGGGGGATTCATACACTCTCACGGTTGTGGCCGATGATGGAGGACCCAAGAGAGACTCCACTGTGGTAAAAAGCTCACTAATGACCTCACTGTAGGTCAAGCTCACAATATGGCCATGTTTGTTAAAGTCCATTTTAAATGCATGTCTGTAAACAGGATTGTATCCAGAAGCTTGTGTTGAACTTGATAGTGATGTTAAATATTGATGTACTATATAAACATCTAATTAAACCTGTTCTTTTCTCTTTCCTGATTCCTTTCTTGATGCACATTTGTAGAAGGTAAATGGGTGATTTTTGTCCTCGAATCAGTTTTAATGCAACAAATGTTAATATTCTGTCAGAAACAACATCTCAGGCTCCATTGCTTTGTACTTTTGAAAGGTTTCAATCACCATTCTCGACGAGAATGACAACAGCCCAGAGTTTGACATCACTTCGGATCTGTCGGTGGCTATTCCAGAGGACACTCCCATTGGCCAGAGAGTCGCGGTCGTGTTGGCACGGGACAAAGACGCTGGAAGAAACGGATTGGTGAGTAGGACATACTCAAAACACTGTGAAATTAGATGTCAATCATTCCTAACCCTGCCTCCATCACACTCCTTTAGGTCAATTTCACCTTGATCGCGGGGAACATGCAGGACGTGTTTAAGATCAACACAGCCAATAACACGTATGGAGAGGTTTACTTGAATGCCCGTCTGGACCGTGAGGCCGTGGACCGCTACCTGCTAAAAGTGAGAGAGACATTATGGACATATGCTTTGGCTCTCTAGCGAACTGTTGTGACTTCATAGATCTCGCTTTATATCTTACACATGCTCCCGGGTTTTAAAAAGCATGTGATATTAGAAATATAGACTACCATTCAAAAGTTTCAATAGGAGTCAGTAGAATACTTTTATTCTGCAAGGATGCATTGCCATTAAATTGATCAAAAATGACAGTAAAGACATTTATTTTGTGCTTCAGATGATTTCTATTTTAAATCAATGCTGTTGTTTTGATCTTTCCATTGTCCTGGACTTAACGCAAGCAGAAGGCTCTTTTATGAAGTTACTTCTTTGAAAGACATATTTAATGAGATTATGCCTGAAAAGGTTCTGGATTTTTTATCATATGTTAATTTAAAAAAATATATATTGTATAATATGACTTCTTGTTTATATTTGTTTTGTTTTTGTTATGATATGTTTGTATTTTTGTAAATGAATTTTTGCCATGAAAATAGCTCTGACTGCTGACATGGCATGAAATAAAATAATCTGAATCTGATTTTTCTAGATTAATCCTGAAAAAGTAGCAGTTTGTAAAAAAAATAATAATAATAAATGAATAAATAATAAATGTTTCTTGAGCAGCAAATCAGCATTAGAACTGACATAATAATGCTGAAAGTTAATCTTTGCCTTCACAATGCAATAAAATTACATTTAAATAGGACACAATTATTTAACATTTTAATAACAGTTTCTTCTGTATTTTTATCAAATAAACAAAAAAGCCTTTCTGAGCATAAGAGACATCTTTCAATAAGTCACGTCTGCCGAATACCGAGTAATAACACCTTCAGACAAGCCGGACGGTGTCAGAGTGTTGCGTGACTTTTTACATGTTTCCTTGTACAGTTAAATATAGTATGTTTTGCATAATGCGTTCTGTGGGATATGTGTGTCTGTTTGCTGACGTTCACATGGATACCCGTGTGTGTTTGGATCAGGTGCGGGCGACGGATAATGGCTCCCCTCCGAGGTTCACAGATGTGTCGCTCACTGTGAATATTATGGATGTAAACGATAACCCTCCAGTGATGCAGAGCCCTCGTGGATACAACGTCAGCGTCAATGAGGTCAGTGATGTCACAGCACCTCAAACCAGTGATGCTCCTCAGAGGATTCTGGGTGTTAATTATCCAAATGTTTGCATGAAAGATGGCAAAAGAAAGAAATGTAATGACTCATGTGTCAGTGTAATCTATTTTGTTCATATGTGAATATATATATATATAAACCAACATATATATGTGTGTTGTTTTAGAATGTAGGGGGTGGTACAGCGGTCCTGCGTGTCGTAGCGACGGATCGTGACATCGGACCCAACGCCATGCTGTCGTACTACATCACCGGTGGGAACCAGGACCTGACCTTCAGAATAGACCGTATGACGGGAGAGATAGTGACCCGACCGTCACCTCCTGACAGAGAAAAACAGCAGCAGTACACACTCACCGTGACTGTGGAAGATGATGGCACGCCACCTTTATCAGTAAGTGTGTGTGTGTGTGTGTGTGTGCGTTAGCTGCCTGTTTTTCTTTGTAATCTTTCATCAAAATAATCCCCATCTCTAAATGACTCTTCTTTTTTTCCTGACATTACCAAGGCCACATGGGTGGGGAAAAATAGTACGCTAACCTACATTTTATGATCCAGTCAGATCCCAATGGATGAACCCCACCCTTACAACAGGACATCATTGCTTGTAAACAGATTTTGACAGTTTTTCTTTTTTTCAACTTTCTAAACATAAGATACTACGCTTGCTTTTTTAAAAGCCAGTCTGAACAACCAAACAGCAAAAACAGGAAACCACAACCTGCCTTATTTTTGAAACAGGAAGTTGCACTCTTAAGAGCTCGTTGATTCCTGTTGTGAACCTCATAGCGGTCTGGGTTTCAGCAAGTGTGACTTTTGGTCCTCTGGTGTCTGGATCAACTTGGTCAAAAGCAGCAGATTGAAACTAGTTTTTAGGGATATGTTGTCTTTCAGATGATTCCAATTAAAGAGAGAAATGATGCTCTTGTTTGAACAGATTCTGCTATTTGTTTTAGTAGAAGTCGGGTAAGTTTCCCATAATGGTTTAGAGGTCTTGCCACCCGTCAGTAGACCGTGTGCCGTCTCGTGTGATTAAAGAGATTATTTCTAGCATAAACACAGCACAAGGACTCACAGCTCTCGCCAGGATTTTTTTATTTATTTGTATTTTTATAAAAAGAAATACAAGCAAATGGAATCAGCAGTTATGTCACAGCATTGTCAAAGCTACATATAAGGTGTGCAACTTCAAATATACAAACTGGTAAAGTGGTGTATTTATCAGCATATTTACAATGTGGATTTGCAATCATTCACCAACAAATCTTTCATTCGTACACAAAGCAAGGTTTTGGCACTCTCTTTGGCAGTGGATTTGAACTTGAGCTTCCTGAAAACGCTTACTGAAAAGCTCTTTACTTTGCTTTTTTTTTCATTTAATGGAAATGAATATACACTCACTCTCTCTCTCTCTCTCTCTCTCTCTCTCTCTCTTACACACACACACACACACACACACATCAGATAAAAATTCGATACAAAAGATAGAAAACCTTATTTTGTGAGCCCTTAGACCCTTAAAGCCACAGGTGACGTGGGAGATGTAAAAGATAGTGGCATTGTGTTTAACTGGCACAACATTTACCACAAAAAACTGCACTCATTCTGACAGAATGCATCTTACAAGCTACATATGTCATAAAAGCACCACACTCACCATAAAAGGGTTTAAAAAGCCCATTGTTTCTCAGGAGGTCTGACGGTGAGTGTACTGAGAACATCCGTTTTCCACCGACACAATGCCAGTGCTGGTCCCAATCTGGGTCCGTTATATATAAAGTTTCTAAAGTAAAATGAGTTTTAAAACTTTGAAACAAACGGTCATGTGCATTGTCATTCGGCTCTCAAGTAAGTGGCTAAAACCGGCCATTTCTAAGATCTGCAGATTCCCCGGCTGAGCACCAAATCTGGGACCAGCACCGGCACCATTTCAGTGGTAAAGTGATAACTGAGTACTTTGGCACTGAGTATTGAGCAAGGATGGGTAAACAGGAGTGATTGAGGTTTAAACACATCCCGGACCTCTAGAAGAGAGCGGATGATCAAAATGATTAAGTGGAAATGTGAGACGAGAATAGGAACAGACAGATTAGAGAAAAGAGAACGAATGAAAAATAGTCATTTAAGTGCAAATGATGCCACGGTGTGACTGATACACGAGGCACGGGCGAACAAAAAAGTGTGCAAACAGCTCAAATGGCAGTCGAGGACATCTTTGGATCCTCGTCTTAAGAATTCCCTGTGACCGTGCTCTCCCTAGTGCCCAAACTTGTGTAATTTTCTTCTCTGGAAACCCATTCAAGGACAGTCGGCAGACAGACACAGGCGTCATCAGATAAGGGGTCCCATCGTAATAGCGAAGAGCTGAGTCTCGCTATCATTTTTTGGGGGACCTTATCATCCTTGCAGAAGACCGGAAGAAAGAGGCATGATGATGTGGAAGAGAAGGAAGAAGCACTAGGTGTTTCTGTGAACATGACGCCTTTTAATCCAGTAAATTGGGAGACTCAGGAATGGGATCTGGAAAAGATAAGTAAAAGGATTAGAGGACGGGCCATAAACTCTGCTTATAATGCTAGGCAAGGTGTCTAGGTCCGCCAAAATGTATGTTTACGTTGTTTTTGCAAAACTTTCACTTTTAAAAAAACTTTTACTGATAATTGACTCACCCCCATGTCATCCAAGATGTCCATGTCATTCTTTCTTCAGTCGAAAAGAAATTAAGGTTTTTGATAAACACATTCCAACATTTTTCTCCATATAATGGACTTCAATGGGAACCAAACGGTTCAAGATCCAAAAGACACTTTCAGTGCAAACTGCGAACTGTTTAAAGGGCTTTAAATGATTCCAGGCGATGAATAAGGGTTTTATCAAGCAAAACGATCGCTCATTTAAAAAAATAACAAAGTTTACGTTTTCTAAGCTCAAATGGTCGCCTTGCTCTGATCTGTGATGCACGTTCGTGACTCTCCTGTTCGAACTCGTTTATCAAAATGAACGAATCTTTTTACGTGTCATTTGGATGATTCAACGAATGAAATGAACCAAATGACTGGGAAAAAGATTTGTTCATTTTGATGAACGAGTTTGAACAGGAGAGTCACGAACGTGCATCACAGAACAGAGCAAGGCGAGCATTTGAGCTTAGAAAACGTAAACTTTGTTATTTATTGTTTAAATGAGCGATCGTTTCGCTTGATAAGACCCTTATTCATCGCCTGGAGTCGTTTAGAGCCCTTTGAACAGTTTACAATTTGCACTGAAACTGTCTTTTGGACCTTGAACCGTTTGGTTCCCATTGAAGTCCATTATATGGAGGAAAATCCTGGAATGTTTTCATCAAAAACCTTCATTTCTTTTCGACTGAAGAAAGAAAGACATGGACATGTTGGATGACATGGGGGTGAGTAAATTATCAGCGAAAGTTTTTTTTTTTTTTTTTAAAGTGAATTACTTCTTTAAATACACTGTGAACATGCAAACTTTTGGGAACAGCTTTATAAATAAGTTGTATGCTCTGATTTCTTATTTCAGGCCAAACAAAGCGAATTTGCTTTCGTATCCAAACACACTGCGTCTCCACGACATGATGATAACAATACAATTCACTGACGCCTCATCTTTTTTCTCTGCATGTGCCTATGCTAATATTTCACATGGTGACGTAGACGTTTGAGGAAGTATTATCTGGATTTGGATCGAGGCGTTCTAGGCAGGTCTGGAGCAACGTTCTCTGTTAGAATAAATCCCTTTGTGGGAGACTATGAGCTTCGTATATACAACATGCTAAAATCTAAAATAGATCGTTTACACACTAAATTAAAAAGCATCACATGACCCCTTTAATATACATTTTTGGTCTTATCATGAATATTATGCTAAATATTGTGCTGCGTGTTTAAAAAAAATCTCAAACGTTTTAGAAATTTTTTCATCAAAATACAATATCTTGCTCGAATACGTCTTTCCTTTCCAGCTGGCATATGTTTCGCTTACTTTTCCAAACCCTAAGGATTAAATTAAGTCCCACAATTTATATATCATTATCACTGAATTGAGTCACATTAAGGAAGTAAAATGGGTTGTAAACTTGTTTAACGTTCACATTAACTGTGTAGGAATACAGAACTGTCTGTTTGTGCCAGTAGGTCATGTATAATGAAAAAAAAAACACACACACATGAAAGTAGACACGTATGCACACACACACACAGACACACACACGTTCTCAGTTTCTCAGAACCCGGCTTGCCATCAGAGAAGCAGAAATGATTGTTGTGAAATGAGGGAGAAAAGGGGAAATTGACATTCTGTAAATTCCGCTGAGTTAAAGGTTAAATGAGAGGAGGCGTGTGTCTGTGTGTGGAGAGTGAGCTGGACTTCATAACGTTTGCCTACACACACACACAAGACTCTAGTTGTGTTTTGTCTGGTAGTGTGCAGATTTGCACGCGTGTTCATTTTTCATTGAAACGTGTGGGTACAGTTGTGCCTACCAAGATGATGAAATTCAAGTTTCTGTTTGTGTGGTGTGTGCAAATTTGTTTAAGATTGGGTATGTTTAAGCACCATGGTCATGTGTGTGTAGTGATGCTCCACTTGTTTCTTGTCTCCAGTGTGACGGTGACAAGCTTTTGGAATTGGATTACAGTTTCATGTTTGTGTCTTTGTGTCGTACCCTGTGATGGGAAGAACAACAGTTCCCCTTGGATGTTTGGGGAGAGTGGAGTTCCAGGATCCGACAGGAGGTGGCGTCCTGTTTCAGATGACTGCCTCATGATTTGGGATACAGTGCGGGGTTTAGGTTGTGGAGAATCTCCCAAAAACACTGGGTTCTCATGCGCTTGTGCTTCACTAGAGAGAGATAGACAGACAGAGGTTTAATGAAAATATTTGTATTCATTTAAATCTCATGGGACCTGCCAAGAACATGTCTGAACACTGTGTTTCCTCACAATCACAAAAAAATCTTTACTAATAAGAAATCATATTTTGCAAATTAATATATAAAAAATATACATATTTCATTTTTTTTTTTTTTTTTTGCATTGTGAAATTATTTTCCTGACAGTTAGGCTTATTTTCCCCCAAATTGTCATTACAAAAATAATCACTCATAATAGTAAATTACACTTGTAGCATTTGCTATACTGCCTTTATGCTTATTTATAGATACAGTAACGAGAATCACCATTGAGAATAATACGAATTGTACACATAAATATATTTTGACCCTAAAACCGTATTCTGGACAAATGTGGGCAAAATAGTTTCGATTTATTTTTTAAAAAAATACTTCCCTTGACCTGAGCGGTACAAGACTTGGCTACTTTTCCTAAGTTTGCCTCCTGAACACACACTATTTTTTTTTTGACTCAATTCTACAATGTTAAGTGGGTGAAAAAAAAAACTCCTTAATGTTGTATTTAGGTCAGAAATGGGCACCCATAGAAATGAATGGATGGGAAAAACTGTAATTTAGAGCATTCTAAAATAAGCCAAAATAAGACACCAGGTGACAGCAAAGTCACTTCATCTTTAGGTTTTAGCTCTAAGAACTTATTGGAATGATATTTTAATGTAGTTAAAAAAATTAAACATAAAAAATAAGCATAATTTACATAGAAAATATGGTACTTTTTGAAGTAAATAAATTCAAAAATACCCCCCAAAATACATAAAAACAGCATAAATGGATAGACAAAACTTTATCGAAGACAGTGATATAACATTTATAATAAATAAAAATTAGGATCACATCTGAGTCCTCTGTACCCACATTTGTCCACAATTACAGGATTAAGGGCTATAAAGTTAATACGGTTTGAGGGCTACGCATTTCTGTAATAGGTCCATTATTAAAATTATTATACCACTTTATTATCAAAAAAAATAAGGCTGCTATAGAAAGATGATCTTATATTGAAATGCAATTTGGACATGGTTTTGCCAGATTCAGCAAAATATATCTTGAATTGTTTGGTCACTGTGGAAACTCACCTGTCCATTCGCACCAGCTCATGTGAACCTGGGAAAAACAGGAACAGGAAATGGTTCATAGCGAGAAAGGAAATGCAGTCTCTTTAAAACAATTAGTGCAGCTACTGTACTGCCATCCGCAGAATGTGCAGCGCTCTCTCACACTCAATATAGGTCAGAGTAAGTGTGTGAGCTAAACATGACTAAGTCTACGTGCGCGTGTGTGTGTGTACTCACGTCTGTGTCGCTCTACTGTTTGTCTCTGTCTGTAAACTAGCATCAGTATGAGCGGGAGGCACAGAATGAAAGCTACACAGGCTGCGATAGCCAGACCTTCAGCCACTGAGTCTGAAAAAGAGAGACAGAGAGACGTTATTGGTGGAAAAAGAAAAGAAATCTGTAGTGAATCAGCCCAAAAAGTACTCGAGACACTTGAAGCCACACTTAAAAATCTGCGAATGCCAGTTTGCATAATATGTGACCCACAAAACCAGTCACATGGGCTTTCCATTGATGTTTGGCTTGTTAGAATAGGACAATATTTGGCTATTTAAAAATCTGAGGGTGCCAAAAAATCGAAACATTGAGAGAATCGCCTTTAAAGTTGTCCAGTTACGTTCGCGATATTGCCGCATTCACTCACAAAAACAAATGTTTTATATATTTACAGTAGGAAATTTACTAAATATCTTCATGGAACATGATCTTAAAAGAAAAATCGGTCATTTTCACCCATACAATGGCTATTGCCACAAATATTCCTGTTCGACTTATGACTGGTTTTGTGGTCACACATTATATAACAAAATAGCACAAGCACATCTTTCAGCCAGAACATGGGGTTCAGAGAATGAAACAATAGATTTAAGGGTGACTTTACTAAACAGCGACCCCATTTTGTACACCATGTTTCAGCACAAAACTTGCGTCTTATTCCCTAACCACTCACAGTCTAGTTTTACGAGGCACTGAAATAGAGTTTGGGTATTTGGGTACACAGATATTTGTAAAATAGGCTAATTATACTTCTCAAAACTATACCTGTGACCTTCAGTGGAACTTTCATTGAGCAAAAATAGAAGCTAGTTCTGAGAAAATCTGTTGCTTTATTTGTTTGCAGATGCCATCTTGGGGTTTGATTTACTTTTTAAGTGTGACTTGTGTGTCCTAATAGTTTTTAGAGCCTCTGTGTTGTTGAACGTACCATCTGGGGGAACGTGAGACCACTCCAAACACTTCAGACTGCCGTTGAGAGTATTTGCATTTGCTGTGGAAACATGCGACATTAAGATCACTCAAGAATGAAGTGGATACATGAATGTCCCACCTGACCTCTCTCCTGGCTCACTTACTTGGCACCACAGTCAGGTAGATGAACTCGTGGGCCTCCTGCTCGACCTTGTGCTTGCCGTGAAAGTCCAAAAGCAGGCAGCAGTATTTGCCCTGGTCCTTGTGATTGACGGTCTGCAAGAAGATGGAGAAGGACTTCTCACCGCTGATGTAACTCACTCCCACGGAGCGGTTGGTGTGACCGGACTCGCGCGGGTGAATGCCCTTGTGGCAGTGCTCCTTTGAGTGAGACGTGAAGAGCCAGGTGTTCCACAGCTTGTCCTCCGAGGCAGCCTTGGATCCGGACTGAACGCACGTCAGGGTGACATTGGCCCCTTCGGGACACTCGTAGGTCCGATGGGGCACAGAAACACTTAGAGAGGGGTGATCACCGCTCGCTGGAGAGACAAGGAGGAGAAGATGGGGATTTTTTTATATTTAAATCAAACAATTATATTTAATATCAAACATGTGCAAACTTTTGGATATATATATAGCCTATATTAGTAGACTGTAATTGTAAAGCTTTTTGTAAGTTAATTCCCCCGAAAAATGAAAATACATGCGTACACATACAAATCTGAATTTTACATTTTGAATGTGACAATTTTAAATGCCAACCTATTTATTTATTAGATGTCTGCAAAGGCAGAGATATCTGTATTTGACATCATGGATTTCTTGAGCTCAACTGGTTATTTCCTTTTAGAGTGTGTACCAGCTGACCACTTGTGCAGAGTTTGTTTACTACAGTTGTGACTTTGTGGCATTAGTCTTTTACTCGGTGTCCAATTTTAAAGGAGCTGTGGCCAAAACTGGTACTGCAATCACTTTCAAATTAGGGTGTATCCCCCCCTTCCCCAATGACTTGAGGTTGCCAGATATGCTGCAGGTTCCAGCAGAAACGTAGGCTGCTACAAGAAGCTTCCAATGGCAGGTGACGAGTCCTACACAGTGAGTTTTTTCTGTTATTTTTTTATTTCAGACTTTGTAACAAAGTATTTCGCATTCATATCAAGTTTTTTGGGGGTTTCGCAATGTTAGATTTTTTTTCATCCGATTACGACACGTTTGTGTCTGCAGCTGTGGTAATTAGAGAAGAGCTGGCAACCCGAATGCCGGAACACTACTGAGTCTGTGATTGGTAGATCGGTGACGCATCAGAACAAAACACAACTTGACAACATCAACATCAGTCAAGGGCTGCGACTTCACTTTTTAAATGACATATCCTGGCCGGACTTACTGTTGTCAGTGATATAAGTATTTGAAATGAACATGATTTCTTAATGTCTAGTGACATATTAGGGAAAATGTATGATTAATTGAAATAAATGTCTTGCATACAGCTCCTTTAAGCCACAAAATGATTTTTATCATTTCAAATCAACCAATCATTTGTTGTAAAAATGCTTTTTTTTATTATTTTATTCACAAATTTATAGTCCATTATTTTATTCATTTATTTTTATTTTTATTCGACAGCAAATGATTTTCTTGAAAACTGTGCCTTTCAAAAAGTCTAAATTTTGTTCCTCCAGACACATTAATACGTTTAAATGTTGCTTGCGTATAATAAAACGACTACAACACTATTTTATGAAAAAAGAAAAACAAGCTTTGTGAAACCTAGAAGTGCTCTGTGGAAGAAATGCATTTCCACCACATTAGTGAACAAACAACAGGTGTCATTTTAGACTGCTATTGTTTCTTCTATCAATGCGATGTTCTCTACTCAAGTTTTACTGTGTGTGTGTGTGTGTGTGTGTTGTAGAATAAAAGGGTGACACACTGAGTGCATTGTTTCCTATCCTGTAATAGACCAAACAGACCTACATCCTAAATGCACACACAAACCCTATGAACCAGAGCTGAATGTGTATCGACAAGGCAAAGGAAACGGGGAAAAATACAGATTGCTCATGAATGGACAAATATTTCCTTTATTTATGTGACTGTCCCAGATATTGACTGCTTGAATGCATGGCTGTCAGTCATTATGTGCCGCCCTCTGTGTAGTTGACCTTAATGTGCAGTCTGTGCAAATGCTTCTTTATGCCCTGAGTGTCTTAAATGTACATAGCTATGAGTGTGTGTGTGAATGAGAGTCAGGAAAAGCAATAGGAAACGGCGTCTGTGTGATAAAGTGTAGCTCAGGGCGGCGTGTCCGTTCCTGTCTCTCAAAGACACAATACAGTTCAACCCCCGTATTCCCTATAAACCTCATCCGTCCTCATATTCCCAATCAGCGCTCGTAATTATCCGGTTCAGGGCTTCATTTCCTACCCCGTGAGATCCTGTGCTGGGAACTCGCTATGGCAGCTGCCAGCGGTTCCACACGTCTTTGTTGTGACTGGATGAAATAGTACTCTGTAAACGTGCCGTCTCTGAGTCCTGGGTCGTGGTCGGATCAAAGGCATGTCAGAGAGTGTTTTGGAGGCCGAGCCAATCTAAACGGTTGCTTTAAAAGCACAAAAAGCCATTAATCATTTCAAGAAGGGTTCAACAAGGGCCCTAATCCTAACAACTTAAGCAATAATGATTGGAAATGGTCACTGACCATAACTTGAATTGAGCCCAGAACTCAGACACATCTGCCAGAGACAGAAAACTAATAATGAAATGTCGCCTGCCTGAGGACATCTGTCTGCAAATGTGTTTATCTGTGACGTCAACACAAAAGCATCTGTGCCACTGAATTTACATGGACATCAGCGTCCATCCTGCTCCTAGTTACTGATATATGAAGAATGTTCACATTTACATGCCGCTGACATGCACCACCACCCATCATTTTACAGTATGGAGAAGGAATATCTATGATTGTTACTTAAAGAAACCTCTTTAAAGAGAGATTTAGTTTGTTTTTATTACAAATAAATGCTATTTATACCAAGATCATAAATGACACCAAAAAGTTACAAAATTAAAATATAATAGATCATTCACTTATCATAACACCTCTTAAAACAGTCAGTCACATAATAAGTGAGATGCATTTAACCAAGTTTGATGTTCTCAAGACACTTTTGGAATTGAACACGAATGCAAATGAAATTTGAGAGCGTTGATGAAGGGGAAAATTATCAGTATTGGACTGTAACTCACACAAAACTATCATATGCCTTTGTAATTCCTCGAATATTGTGGACTTTATGCTGCTTTTTGTCCTTTTTGAAGCTTGACATTATGTGTGTATTATATGGAAAAGAGCAGCTCAGGGATTCTGCCTTCATATTTAATTTTGTCTTTGATGGACAATTTTTGTGTTTTTGTGAATGTTCCGTAAATAACGGCAGAGCCCCTTTACAGCCCCCACCTACATTTCTCGCTATTGCTGTTTATGCAAGAGCCTCATTACAAGGTGTTAATGAAAGCCATGGGGGTCCCCTAAGAACCCCCCTCCCATCTGCAGAGAGCATGACTGTGAGGGACTGCCCCATTTCACCTGAAACCTCCTGCAGATCAGAATCCGCCCAGCATTACAGAAACTCCTCAGCTTCATACATTAAAAACATTGTTTTGGAGTATTGGACTATTTCCAGAAGCAAAATCAATGATATTTGGTGGAATCAATCTTCTTGAAATCATGAGGGCAGGTTGGAAAAAGGCACCATATGGTCTACAAAGGTCTTAAGAGTTATGAACAATAAACAATAGGGGATGTTTCCTTTAGCAAGCACCACGAATGCTCATCAATGCATCATTCTTCCTCTCTTGCGTTATTTGTCTCTTAGTTCTCAGTTGATCATTTTGTCCCCTATATATTCTTACAGAGAAGCAGTGTGGATGTAGCCTCTCATAGGGACTTACAAACCAGTGCAGTTTCCACAGTCTCCCTGTCTCATTCCTTTTGTGATCTTTTCAGATCTTTTTTTTTCAGGCCTGGTTAAGATGATCCCATCAGGCTTTTTTGAGAAAGATCACACCTCATCACTGTGATCAGGGTGTAGGGATGGTTGGGCATTGAATCAATACCCCCTGGTATGGAAATCTGACCTGACGGATACTTAATAATAGCTTCCCCCCTGCGAACAAGCCTCACAAACCCTGCCACTTCCTACATCTACACCTCACACTGTCTACCTTTAGACCAACAACTCTAAAATTGGCGAAAAATCAATATTATCTAAATGATGAACCAGCCATAGTCTATTGATTATTGAATTCATCTGCAAACTAAAGCTAAGGTAATCAGTTGATACAAATAGACTCTTATACAAATCATACATAATATGTGATGTGGTTTCATCAGAACTGATGACATAGGCTATTATAATGATTAGTACACCATAACTAAAACATTTTTTAACACTTTCTAAACTAAAATCATTATAAAATGTTTGTTCTGTTTAGCATGATTATCATACAATAATAATGTCTAAATGCATTTAATAGACGATGAAAACGCTGGTTTCGCGTTACTAAATGATGACCAAACTAACGTAGCTCATGAATATTACGTAGCTGCCCTTTAAACTAAATTAATACAAGCCAAGTCTTCACCATTGTAGGATTTGCTACACGTCTAACGCCCACTAACAGCCTAGTTTTAGCCAATCAGCTAATTTTGTTAAATAAACTTCAAATGAAAGTAATATCATGAAACAAGGAGTCACTGCAACAGTAACGTTAATTCGCTTGTTACTCGACGCACGAGAGAGCGTCAGCGACAAAAGTTTTCTTTTCGGTAAGATTTCATCTATTTACGTAAGGTATAACCAAAATGATACGGCTCCAAACCACAATAGAAAATTAAAGGGAGCAACTGAAGTAAATGACAGTAAGTTGCGTGTTGCAAAGCCTACGTAGGAAAGTACACAATCGATCACAAACTGTATGACAGATGACAGACTTTTTTGTAGAAGGTAAGCTTCGATTTCGGGGCAAAAATGAGAGAAAGAACAGGTTTTTTTTCCCCGTTTTGAAACAAGTTGACACACGCCCGATCAGACGTTTACAAGTAAACAAATGTCAGACCCGTGGCAAATGCAGCACGCGATTAAAAGAGGTCTCGAGACGCGTTTTAAAACTTGAACCACGATGTTAAAACCCTAATAAAACAAAACAAAAAACTCCAAAACCCGACTGAACAGCGAAACACTTCACTTTGACGCACATACAATCAGGAAAGCTATTTTAAATAAAAAGGCAGCTATTGACGCGTTCTCTAGTACAGAAATATAGTAGATTTACCTTGAACTGCAGTTAGAAAATGAACGCAGAGCAAGAGAGCCCAAAATACATCCATCAGTCCTGTCTTCAATTTATGTCCAAAGTCCTCTACAATTTTCCCCGCCGTGATGACAGAAAACTTGTATATTCTTTCTCTTATTCCTGTGTGTTGTGGACCTGTAGGCTCTTACAGTAAGTTATTTATCAGAAGTGAACCATAGAAACGAGAATGTCCTTCACTCTGCTGTCTCCCCCTCCCTCCAAATCACTCCTCCCACTAGGCTACTACAAATACAAGTTATACTACACTTTTTAAATTCATTGAATTATAGTAGCTAATTAAACCAATTATAATTTAAAGTTTACGTTTGGTATTATGTGGTAAATATTAATTTAAATATAATTATAATTTAATTTAAATATTATATTAGTATATTTCTGGAAGTTTTTGTTTTCAGTGATAATAAATTGGTTTTATACAGAGTTTGGATGACTGGATTTTGAGATTATATTCTGACCAGATTTTGGCTTTCGTTATTGAGAGAACTGCTTGAGTGATTTTTGTGGGGAGACAGTGGTATCAGTTTTGATGCCTATTGATGGCATACAGACACACATCAGTACCCTGCACACACCATCAGGTTATGCAAATGAAATTCATACTTGCTACACCAGTTCACTATGATACCATGAGATAAGGGTGACTCCATAGTCTGTTCCGAAGAAAACATGCAAATACTTTCATCAAAGTGCATAAACATTGCCCTGCTATCTAGACATAGATTCAGAATTTTTGAGGCACTGGTCATTGTTGTATACTGAGTTGTGTGTTTATTTAATACATTTTTAGACATTTAAAGCACTTTGTGTTGTTTTTTTTAATGGGCTACTCAAATAAATGTTGATTGATTGATAACATACACCATGTTCAAATTTTAGATACAGAATTATTATTATTACTATTATTTTAGCTAAATAGTATATAATACACACGCTTTATTTTAAGGTGTCCTTGTTACAGTGTAATCATACATAACATAATTAGGGTTGGGGTTTGGTTTAGAGTTAGTTGCATGTAATTATGCGTAATTCCCTGTTATTACTAGAGTAAGTGCATGTAACATATGTAACAAGGACACTGTATGTTACATTTGTCCTGTTGGATTACTCTTTTTATTACTGTAAAAATGTTCCAAGTGTTTAATTATTCACGTGTCATCTGTCTCCACAGACGTCCACCACCGTGTGGGTGCAAATAATTGATGAAAATGACAACGCACCTGAGTTTCCGGAGGAAGAGTATGTGACGGAGCTCAGAGAGGGGCCAAACACTGTAGGAGCCATCATCGCCACAGTTACAGCCATCGACCCTGACGAAGATCTCAACGGAACCATCCGTTATGCCATCTCCAGGGGCAACCTGGCCCAGACCTTCCAGATCAATAGCGTAACGGTGAGTGACAGACAGGAAACTGGTTTAGAGATACTCTGATGTGTTTGGTGTTATTGGATTTGTTTTTTGTTTTTTTGTTTTTTGCGCTGTTTGTGTTTTTTCGTTCCTAGAAATTCGTAGAAAACCTTGAAAATGTCAGGGAATTTTAATAACTTTATTTTAAAAAAAAGTTACTGTTTGAAATGCGAGAAATATTTTTTCCATCTGAATGGTCTGAATAGAAAGTTCAAAAGAACAGCATTTATTTTAAATAGAAATTTTTTATAACATGTCTGTCATTTTTGATTACATACATGCATTTTGTCAGGGAATTTTAATAACTTTATTTTAAAAAAAAGTTACTGTTTGAAATGCGAGAAATATTTTTTCCATCTGAATGGTCTGAATAGAAAGTTCAAAAGAACAGCATTTATTTTAAATAGAAATTTTTTATAACATGTCTGTCATTTTTGATTACATACATGCATTTTTGCTAAAAAAAAAAAAAAAAAAAGTTGATATGTCACAAATGACACTTTTTTTCTGAGAATGGCCCTCCACTGCTGCTGTGTTAATTGTGTGATTGTGTGTGTTCACAGGGTCAGATTGTTGTCTTTAAGGAACTGGATTATGAGATCAGTAACGGTCACTATGTGCTGACGGTCACAGCCACAGACCAGTGTCCTATACCTCAGTTTAGACTGACCTCTAGCACCACAGTGAGTTACACGTCTGCTTCACTTATAATCCTCACGATTCCTTAATACGACACTCACACGCTGTCCTGCACCGCAGGTCCTGGTGAATGTGGTCGACGTGAACGATAACGCACCCATCTTCCCGAGTTCATTCGAAGGTCCGTTTGATATCCCAGAGGGTCAGCCGGGCCCACGTGTCTGGACCGTTAGAGCCACGGATGCCGACTCTGGATCCAATGGAAAAGTGGAGTACAGCATCACTGCAGGGGACCTGAAAAGTGTGTGTGATGGACAGCTGATTCAGATCCAATCAGAAAAAGTATTAGTGTTGATATTTCTTGTGTTTTTTGTCTGCGGTAAAGATGTTTTTATTCCTTTGTTTCTGTCTCTCTTTATCCCAGATGAGTTTGTAATCTCTTCAGTTGAGGGAGAGTTGAGAGTGAGGAGAGATGTAGAGCTGGACAGAGAAACTATCGCCTATTACAACATCACCATTACTGCCAAAGATCTGGGAACGCCAGCGCTCAGCGCTATGGTACGCACGCACACACTACTACGCACAAAAATATGAACTTATGGTAAAGGGCATAGTTTTGATTATTTGGAGAGACAATGTTCATTTTGGGACATTGACTAGTGAAATGTCACCATTGGGTGCCATTCAAATCCAATTGTTGATATCAAGAATTGATTTCTTACTAGTTGAAATTCCAATTTCACATATCAGAAATACAGTTATTACTAATAAAAACCTTTATTTTTGATATCAAGAATTCAAATTTACTAGTGGCAATGTTAATTTCTGATATCATGAATGTGATTGTTACTAGTAAGGAAGCCATTTTAGATATCTGGAATAATATTGATATCAGAAATACATTTTCAGATATCGAAAATGATCATTTTTACTAGTACCAATTGAATTGTTGCTATGAAGGATAGACATTTCAACTAGTGACAATTTAATGATTGATATCAGGGATTCTCATTTTTACTAGTAACAATGTAATTATTAATATCAAAAGCCTATGGTGAAATTTCACTTGTGAAAAAATATATACAGATATCAGCAATTAAATTGTTGATATCATAAAATGTAATTGTTGATATCAAAAATCGAATTTTTTATCAAGATCATCATCATATCCTGGAAATGAATAAAAGCTTAATTAATTAAAACTGTTTGTGGTGTTAAATAAAATAATTGATTATATTATTTTTATAAATTATTTTATAGTAATATTAATATTAATAATTGAAGAGTTCAGATGCAAAAGCCTCTAAATGCCATTTGAAATTTTCTTCTAAAATGACCATTTTTATCAAGCTTGTATATTTAATTTCAGTAATTTCACTTAAATGACAATTAATAGGTAATTTTCATTGCCATTTAAGTGAAATTACTGAATTTAAATATACAAGCTTGATAAAAATGGTCATTTTAGAAGAAAATTTCAAGGCTTTTGCATCTGAACTCTTCAATTATATTTCTGCTTTTATATTTTTAAATAAATATTATTTTATAGTCATACTGACATATAATCACAAACCTTTTGGCCAAATAGTGCATCCCTAAAAACGATCACAGCAAACCTGGAGCTTTTATCACTCACAGTTTTTATCAGAAAAATCACAATTCGATTTTTTCCCTGAAATTGTGCCTTCTCCTTTTTTGTTCTCCATTCTTCACCGCCATTAAAAACATTGAATGGAAATCCTCATCTGTTGTCAATATTGCTCCCAAGTAGCCAATATTACATAATATTACATAATGCATGCACAGATCAACTGGAAAAATCTAATCTTGCATAATTTGTATTATGGTTTATGTTTGAATTAGAAAGCAGTGAATCACTTATATTTCCCATAATTCATGTGGTGTTTTTTTTTTTTTTTTTCTGTATCAGGTGACAGTGGGCATTCAGGTGTTGGACATTAATGATAACGACCCCGTCCTGCTCAACTTACCATTTAACACCAGCGTGAGCGAGGGAGCAGCGATTTACACTTCCATCTATCAAGTGCGGGCGCAAGACTCTGACAGCGGCCGCAACGCTCTCCTCACATACAGCGTCACTGCCGGCAACACTGATGGAGCGTTCTACATTAATGAGACGGTAAAGGCGGGCATACACTGTGCGATGTCTGTGCGATTTCAGCAAGGTACCTACTCACACTGAACGAGTAAATCGCATGCGATGCAAAGCCAAAGTTCAGGATTTATGTGCTCACATCCGATCCGATCGTCGAGCTGCGGCTTCACTGCTCACACTATACGTGTAATATCTGCGATAACCCCCTGGATTGCTCCTATTTACGTGTATGTATCCAGAGATATTGTCAAAACAAGCATCTGCTATCAGTATCAAGATGATTTAGTATTTTCAATTTATGCATTTAATTATTATTAAATTATCATTATTAGGGGAGGCCTATAGGCTAATTTTACTATTAAATTGATCCGCTATTATAATTAATTTGCCACGCAATATTTTCACAGCACATAACCAACGTGCTGTGAGGATAATAAAATATTAATCTTACTCCTCATTAAAAATTGTCTAAAACATTTAGGTCGATTACAATGAATTATATACATATAAAATAACTATTAACAGTCTATAATATGTCCGAACATTGCCATTATTAATCATCAATGAAAATTAAAAACAGGTTTATTTCAAAAACATTGTTTGACAAAATAATAAAAGAGGTGTTACATATCAGGTGGCTTGAAGACGGTGGGTAATATTATCCATTTTGCAACACCAACTGGAGGTAAGCAACAGTAATTTGTAGCTCGTTTTCATTTTAATTTTATTTTTGCTGCAGATGAAATGGTTAAACTTCTGTTTTCGCGCAGGTGCAGTGAGGGAAAAAACACTGAGTTTAGGGCAATCGGTTCGTAGCTTTGCTTCAACTGTGCGATATAGTCACGAAGAGCGACCAAAATTTCTGACATGCCAGAAATTCATCCGACCATCCGATTGTCGATCGCGAGAGGTTAATCGCCTCTCGTTTCTCCCTGTACACTGCACGAACACTGCACGACAAACGACGCACGACAAAGCTGAAAATCGGTCCGACACGAAAATGAGTCGCACGAGTCAGAATTCGGCTCAAAATCGGACGAAAATCGCACAGTGTATGCCCGCCTTAAGAGACAGGGGGATGCGGGACACAAACAGCCTAGGGAAAGAATAAGGCAAGGAAATAGTAATGTAATAGTGAACACTGAAAAGACTGATGTGTTCTCTCCTCCAGTCAGGTGTGCTTCAGGTGAACAGGCCTCTGGATAGAGAGAGAGTGGCTGAATACAGACTCACCATCACCGTCAAAGACAACCCAGACAACCCTCGCATCGCACGCAGGGTAAATAACATGACACAACACAGCATATCTGGTTAAATATATGTTTCACAGACTGTGTGAATATCACAATCAGGTTAACAACTGCAATGAGATTTTTCACTCTGCTCAGGACTCAGATTTGTTGGTAGTTGCCGTGCTGGATGTGAATGACAACAGGCCCATCTTCACCCAGACCAGCTACAGGGGCGAAATCAGTGAAAACTCACTCAACGGTACCAAATGTTCTAACCACCTAACCACCATTATTAGGGTGTGTTCACATTGGCATTTTAACATCAAACCTAAAGAGAGCGAAACTAGGTTATGGTTATTATGGTCACAACCTGATTGGCTTTTATTACGTATATTTCGATGGAACTTACCAACAGTGTTGTGCAAGTTACTTCCAAACTGTAATACATTAGGTATTACTTGTTACTGTTATTTAAAAGTAATTCATTACCTTACAATATTACTGTCTCAGAATTGTAATGCGTTACATTACTCATGTATTACTTTTGAGTTACTTTCACCAAAATAACTAAGTAGAACTTAACTTTGGGGCTGTAACGATATGCAATATGAAACCAAAATCGCGATTTGCCACACGACTCAGATCCACGAACCTACAGAATCGCGACACACCTCTTCCAACTCCAGCGTTATTCTCCTTACCGTCCAGATCCAATGCTGCCTTATCTTTAAATTAGGCTATTAGTATTATTTGAATTTAACATTATAAAATACGTAGACCTACACCACAAAACTAGTTGAGGATAAATTATTTAAAATTGGGTCCAGCATTATGGACATGACATTTGCAGTCAAAACTTGAAATAAAAATTCTCAGAAAATACATGTATTGAAACGTATATAGGCTACTTCCTTAAAGGACTCCAGACATTAGACAAATATCAGTCTGTTTTATTTTTAATATTAGGGAAAAGACACACATTCATGCGTGACAAAAAAATAGGAGGCAAAATATATTTTTTGTAATTCTGTTAATTACACTGCGCAAATCGGATGAGGAAGGGTTGGCTCTCCAGTCTCCATAGAACTTAAAATATTCATTTTATTTTAGTTTTCGTGTTCGCATTTATGAGGGAAAAACAATGTTACAGACGCGACCGCTCTGAACTGGCACTAAAAGACTGCTTTAAAACTTTCACATAGTCTGTTGCCTTTAAGAAGTAAAAGCAGACAATACACTGTAATACAACTGTAATACAAGCCTCACTGAACATGTAACGAGTAAAATATTACTGAAAATTGATTAGTAATGCCTTACACTACTGCGTTACAGCAAAAAGTAATATGTTACTGTAATGTATTACTTTTGTAATGCGTTACTCCCAACACTGCTTACCAAACATCCAAAACAATGCTGTGTGCTGGGATATATGCGCTCGTTGTATGTGCGCACCTACTTATGATGGGTTTTGAACTCGTGAAGAGATATAAAATGTCAAAAACAACGGCAGGAGACGTGGTTCTGAAGCCTGTAATTCGGCAAAATCGGTATGCTTGAGCATTCTGACCTTTTTAGGGTCTCATCTTGTGACATCTTGTCCCATTTTTGGTTCGTTTAAATGTCTTTGCTCCGTGTTGTGTTCATATTTCATTCAAACCGCACCAGAGTTCGTTTGGAAGTCTTTTCAGTGGTTTCGGTCCTCTCTTGTTTGGTGCACACCAGGGTTCAGATATCAGCGTTCATGCTTATTTAAATGAGCCTTACTAACGGTTCGTTTTAATGCCATTTGTGAACACACTCTCAGGAATGAAATTGTCCCTTCAAAGAAAGTGAAGAAGCTTTTTTTTTTCATTGATGAGAAATTGAGTTCAAAAGCAGCTCTACAGAGCATAATAGTGTGATCACCCAGCTCATGTCAGTTCAAGTTTAGTTCTCATCAGAAAATGTCAGTGCAGTCAAATCATTTGACTAATTTGACTATTTGACTAATATAAACACATTACACCAGTGCTGGTCTCGCTTCACTGGCTACCGGTTAAATTCAGAATTGATTTGAAGTTCTCTTATTTGTTTTTAAGTCATTGCAGAACCAGTCTCCAGTACTTATCTGAATTACTTCTCCTAATCACTTGGACTCTAACTTACTATCTGTCCCTGGAACCAGACTGAAAAACAGGGGGATCGAGCCTAGTTTGCCGCCTTCAGACCTAGGCTATGGAATTGTTTACCGGCTTACATCAGATCTGGCCAAACTTTGTCAATTTTAAATCTTCTTTGAAAATGCATGTCTTCTCAATAGCTTTTAATATATCTTGATGTGTTTGTCCATATATTGTACTTGTATGTCCTTGTTAAGCACTTTGGTCAACGACAGTTGTTTTTAAATGTGCTATACAAATAAAATTGCATTGTACAGTATATCACACACTAAATTCAAGATGCACAGGGGTCATGACTTATGAATCGTCATCACCTCCCTCTTTCTGTCTGCATGTCCATCAGGCACCACAGTGTTGATCCTGAACGGCCCTGTTCTAGCAGAGGACAGAGACATTGGGGTGAATGCAGTGGTGAGGTATCGTCTCCTGGGAGCCAGAGTGGACCTCTTCTCGATAGACTCCCTCACAGGTCAGAAGTTCAGCACAGATGTTATGGGTTATGTTCAGGGCTTGACATTAACACCCGCCAACCCACCAAATGCGGGTGGATTTCACCCGTGGTGGGTTAACACAGTCACTTGCCACTTTGGCACGTTGAAAGATTGTAGTCTTGTCAAAAAACATCTGACATAACTAACGAATTGCATTTTATCAATAGGACACTACAACTCCCGCACCAAAATATGACATCCAGACTTTTATATCACATCCTATCACAACTATCTTTCCAGAGTTAATTCTATATTTTAATAAAAATTAATCATGCCATGAAAGATGCATTTGTGGGAATAATCTGGAAAATAAAGACCTGTAGGCCTTGTTTCAGGTGGACATATCTCCAGTAACTCAGAGCTGATGCAAAACAAACGATCCAAAGTCCCCAAAACTCTATAGGCCTATATAAAGTTGTAATCCTGTTGGATTTTTTCTTAGAAAAAATAATTTGTTGTTTCTAATGAAGATAATTGTTCTACTCTGTTTTACAGTATTTACTGCTGTAAAAAAAAAAAATTATGCTGCACTTTTATTATATGCAATAAGGCTATGTAGAGAAAATGCAAAAGTGGCGTTGCGTCATCAATTTTTATTCTGCGTTTAGACGAGCGTTTTGTGTGGGAAATCCGCGTGCAAATGGTGACGCAAAAGTGTGTGAAATTCAATGTAGTTTGCACTTCAGGCGGCTAGGAGTGCATACTACAACAACACCAAGTCCACGCGCCTGCGTACAACCTTCACTGTCAAGCAGACTTTTGCGTTTTTACCGTTTACATGGGAACGCGCCGGTGGAGCGTTTTTAAGATTTCCACTCTGGAGGGTGGTTTCACTTTTTTGCGTTTTTAAGCTTCAACGCTGTCGCCGTGTAAACGAAAGGCACATCCAATAAAATATTTTTACGTTTTCACCCGCGAGCGTTCTCGTGTAAACAGGGCCTCAGAAGCTATTTTTATGTGTTTATCTTAATAGACAACATGTTTTCAAAAAAGGAGCTTTTAAGCTCATGATAATATTAGTACATTTGCACGTTTTAAGCCCCATTGTCAACTTTAATCATATAAAACTTAAATTTCAACAAAAATGTGGCTAGTAAAAATGCTGCGTGGCTAGTAATTTTGGAAAACATTGGCTAGTGAGCAAAAAAGTTAATGTCAAGCCCTGGTTATGTTCATTTTTTGTTTTGTTTTGTTAATGTTGTCCACTGGTTTCATTGGTTTCACCTTTTTTTTTTTTTTTTTTTACAAATATTCAAAGGTCTTACATTGAATTCACTTTAACATGCAGATACTTTTATTTCTGTGGTGTTGTCAGATATACATGATTACAACCCTCACACCCACAGAGTTTCTCGTAATCAAGCACCCCTCCCACTTGTGACACATTTTCTTTCCCACCCCGCTCTCTCTCCGTCTCTAGGGCTGGTATCAGTGCGTGGGGGTGCTGTTCTGGACCGGGAGGCTTTCTCTGTGCCTCGGGTGGAGCTGTTTCTACTCGGGGAGGATGTGGGAGGTTTAAACAGCAGCGTTCCACTCACAATCACTATCCTCGACATAAACGACAACCCACCTGTCTTCAATCCATCCAGTTTCACTGTACACCTGCCAGAGAACAGCCCCACGGGTGAGAGAAACTGTATAAACTGATGGAGCTGGATTAACTGGTGGAGGGACTAGTATAATCTGGTTTGTTGGTCCCATTTGCAGTATAGTGGGAGTGTGTGTGATTGTTGTTATAATAATAATAATAAATTAATTCATATTTATTTATTGTAAATAAATATAGGGATATTCAAATTAATTAACCAATCATTAATAGCCATGATCAGCTCTACCAAATGTGGATGTTTTTCCACTAAGAAACAAATATTGTTATTATGTTTTGATTGATACTGTGAAGCTGCTTTGATGCAGTCTATATTGTAAAAAAGCGCTATATAAATATACTTGACTTGACTGACTTGACTATAGTATTAAAAACATTAAAACTTAAATAAAATGAAAAACATGCCATTAAACAAATAATTTAAATATAGGCTAAAGTCTTTGTTGTTTGTACATTAATTTGAGATTTAATGTGAAAAAATTATTACAAAATTAAAATACATTAAAAACCTTGAATGTTAGGTGTAATTAATCGTGATTAATTACAGAATAAGTAGTTAATAAGTAGTTAATTTGTTTTAATAGATTGACAGCACTTAAGATGACTAAAACTTAAAATAAAAATAAAAAATTAAATAAAATAGAATTAATAATAATTTATTAATTATTATACATTTTTGGCGCAAGGCGTGATCTTCCCCTCAGTTAAAATTAATTAAATTTAAATAATTTAATTAAATAAAATTAAAGAGCCTCTGAAAATATAAAAACTAGTTCAAAATATTAATAAATAGTATAATTGTATATAAATAATACTAAAGTAACAATAAATAAATATCAGTTTCCTATTGAATTTATATTATATAAATTATATAAATATATATATATATATATATATAGTGGTCAACATTTAAAGTAAATCAAAACTTTTCTTCAAAGTTATACATTCTGAACAAAACCCTTTCTTGTCTTAGGACATCTTTGATGAACTTTTTGTATCCACTTCAAATGTTGACTACTGTATATATATGCATACACACACAGAGACATACTATTGTGTTAAAGATGTGTAATGTGGTGTTGTGTGTATTTTCAGGTGTGGTAGTAACGCAGCTCTCGGCGAGTGACGCTGACGCCGGCTCTAACGGTTGGTTGCAGTATCGATTAGACACCGGCGCTCAAGACCGTTTCATCGTTGACGCTCTCTCTGGTGCGGTTCTGGTCGGCAATGCTACACTGGACCGGGAGGAACGTAGCTCGTACCGCCTGGTAGTCATAGCAACTGACCGAGGCACGCCCTCTCTCTCCGGGACGGCGACATTGTCTGTTGTTCTAGATGACATCAACGACTCACGTCCTCGTTTCATACGGCCCGTGCAGACGATCAGCGTCAACGAGTCAACTCCACCTGGAGAGGTTGTAGCTACGCTCACCGCCGAGGACCCTGATCTACGACCCCGCCTGGAGTATTACATCATCTCTGTGGAAGCAAAGGATGATGGGAATAATCCAGTGGATGGGCTGCAGCAGTCGTTTGGGATTGACTTCCACACAGGTGAACCACATTAGAAGACATCTTTGTTGCACTTTTGGCCCTCTGAGATGTCACATACTGTTTAACTCTTCTTCTGGAATTTAGGAACTAAACACTCTACATTTTTATTAATAATCTATTTTCTACGGATAAAATTAACTCTGTTGTGCTCTGTTTTTTTAAAATATTTGTGTCCATCTTCTCAGGGGCTGTGTTTGTACGAAACCCCTTGAACCGAGAGCTGGTTGCCACTTTTGAGATCATCGTTTCAGTGCATGACAACGCCAGTGATGTCATTGACATGTCAGTCAGTGTACCTAACGGTAAGAAAGATCTCTGTCTGTCTTTCTCTCTTTCCTCTTTTCTACTGTTGTTCGTCTATTAAAACCTCCTTTTAAAGGGATACTCCACTTTTTTTGGAAATTGACTAATTTTATCACTCTCCCAGAGTTAAACAGTTGGGTTTTACCGTTTTCGAATGTGTTCAGCTATTTTTCTGATATTTAGAAGAATATCAGTAACCAGACAGTTTCTGGTCTCATTGACTTCCATAGTAGGAAAAAATATATACTATGGAAGTCAATGAGACCATAAACTGTCTGGTTACTGATATTCTTCTAAATATCAAAAAATCGTCTGAACACATTCGAAAACGGTAAAACCCAACTGGAATAGTTATATTGCAAACTTTTTTTTCTTTCTTGCGCCTATTGAAAGACCAGAATGTGATCAGGACGACATGTCCCCACCAGTCTAAAGTTAACCAGTTTCGCCAGAAAATCCGTGCTGGTTTGTCAGGTTTTCCTTTCAATAGTTTCCATCGTCTAGACCAACACTAAACCAACCTGGGGATAATTATTTACTGTTTATCAAACTCATCTAAATTGTATTTCTCTCCACAGCCAAATTGACCATCAACGTGCTGGACGTGAATGACAACGCTCCTCGTTTTCGCCCTTTCGGCGTGGCGAACTTCTCCGAGAGGATTCTGGAGGGTGCTGTGGCTGGTACCACACTTCTGTCGGTGACGGCTGTTGATCCTGATAAAGGACCCAATGGACAGATCATCTACCAGCTCCTGCACCTGCCCCGTGGAGACTACATTAGACTTGAAGATCCATCTACAGGTTGCACATTTGCATTTCTGCAACATTTCTTTTGACCAATCAGTGTTCCAACCCTAACACCTTGCTGATTTAATTCCACCTCTAAACTATATCACGGACAGTGTTGGGTGTAACTAATTACTAAGTAATTACTAAGTAATTAGTTACTGTAATTTAATTACTTTTCCCTTGAAAATGTAAAGTAAGGGACTACTCTTCATTTATCTGTAATTTAATTACAGTTACTTCTGATGTAATTGAGGTAAATACTGTGTATAGATCAATCCGATCTCACAGCGATTCGAGGTGTCTAAATATTACGACCGCACTTGTACAAATTCGTATGAATTATTGTAAAATATGAATGAAAAAAGTGTGAAATGTCATGAGATCAGACATAAAACAATAGTGGGTTTAACATCAAAATGTATTGTCTGATGTTAAAAAGTATGTTTTTATCATGTAACCTTCTTCACCTTGGTCTGTTTAAGGATAATTCATGCAATTTTATAGTATTTATTTGAAAGAATTAAAACAGATTCATGTCTATCCTTGTATTATTCAGCTGGTTGAGATTGATATGGGATTTTTAAAGTAATTAATTACTTTTTTAGAGTAACTTACCCAACACTGATCACGGATGTCTTTCGATATCACCATCCACAGGTAAAATTGTGGCCAATCGGACGGTAGATTATGAACAAGTGCAGTGGTTGAACTTCACGGTGCGTGCTCAGGACTATGGCTCGCCTCCTCGCTTCGCTGAACTTCCTGTCTATCTGCGCATCGTCGATGTCAACGACAACAACCCAGTCTTTCAACAACCTTTATATCAGGTACATCAGCACAGACCAGAGAATCAGGCTACTACTTCCCAGTTGCATTCAGGAAGCATTATATAATAACTCCTACAGTGGGGTCAAACAGTCTGAGACTTAAGTGAAAATGCTTCTGTGTTGCTTTTTGGGAACTTTTTGATTACTCATTATATTATGAATTGTTAGGATTGAGTATGACCAATGTCACTGATTTGCTAGAATTAGAAATAGTGCAGAAAATGTTTATTCTGCATTTTATGTCATGTCAAAGATTTTAAATCTTTTCAATATTGTTGTAGACTTTAAGGACCTCACTGTATTTGAAAACTATGTTAAAATATTTTTGTGTAAAAAAAAAAAGTATTAAACAGCACAACTGTTTTCATCATTGATAATAATAAGAAATGTTTCTTGATCAGCAAATCAGTCATCCGAATGATTTCTGATCATGTATCACTGCTGCTGAAAATTCAGCATATAACAGTTATTTTTAATATTATTTGATCAAATAAATGCAAATTTGGTGAGCATACAATAAGACACTTTTAAACCAAAGTGTTTGTGTATGTGTGTACAGAAGTCCATTTTTGAGGATGTTGCACTCGGCACCATTATTGTGAGCGTGAGTGCGACAGATGCAGACTCTGGCCTGTTTTCTGTCATTGAATACGGGCTAGTGGATGGAGAGGGCAGGTTTGGCATCACACCCAGTACGGTAAGTGTGTTGGTATGAATACAAAGCAAAGACAAAAAGAAATGACATAATGTTTTATATTCAATATTGATTTCCTTTGTTAACAGGGTGACATCTACGTCCTGTCTGCTCTAGACAGAGAGACCAAAGACCGCTACACTCTCACAGCCTTTGCCAGAGACAACCCTGGCGGCAGCCCCAACAACCGCAGAGAAAACTCCGTCCAGGTGTGGATGAGCTCCAAAAAATAGGAAATTGAGCCCATTTGATTGCGTCACATCACAATTATGACTTCAAAACATGAAAATAGAGACTTGGTTCTGGCTAGAGCTAGATTTGACTCATTCAGACACAACCAGATGAACCTGTGACATCCTCTTAGTATGGAATCAACCCGTTCTGCAAACTGCAAAGACCAGTTGACCTCAGGCACATAAAACAAAAACCAAACATGGATTAAATGATTTGAGCAAGAGAGGCCGTGAAGCAGACCAGGCAGAGTGCACTTCACTTCCACTTCCTGTTTAAGAAGGATATGAAGAGAGCATCAGCTCTGCAAATGAAGTTTCACAAGACGTGAAGACCGTGGGTTGGCCGAGCGTTCAGCCCACACTTCCTCTATTCACTCTGATGATACAAGGAAGTGGGAAGTATAGAAGCAAAACAAGCAGAAAATTAAAATACCATCAGCTGGTGCAAAGTACAACACAAACATTGCATAATACTTAGGAATTATTTAAAGCACCAAATGCACGTATTAATGCACCAAATCGGCCTTGGTCAGTCCAGTTGGCCAGTAACTTTTTGGGAATCATTATTTATCACATTATGTTGTTGGTTTGCTGTATCCTCAGTGTGTTCAGAGATCATTTTTGCATTTTTAGCACAGGAAGTTTCAGTTTCATGTGTGCAAAAAGTATCTGAGGTCAGCTCATGCATAACTACAGTACTTGAAAACATTTTTATTTTGGTACTCCACGTTTAACACCTCTCTATCAGATCTCTGAACTTATGTTTCTGTATCTCTCAGGTGCAGCTGACTGTGATGGATGTAAATGACTTCCGTCCACGTTTCTCAGAGAGAGTCTTCACCACTAGTGTGTTCGAGAACGAGCCGGTTGGGACGTCGGTGATCACACTGAAGGCCACTGACCTCGATGAGGGCGAGAATGCATTGCTTACCTACAGTCTACAGGGCCCTGGAGCGGGTACACACTGGCATACAGAGATATACACACATGGGTTGCGCAATTGGCTCTCTTTTATTTAATGAGCTAGAGTTCACCCACCGGCTGTTGAAATGGAACCGGAAATGGAATGACAGAAAGAGGAATTTAACACATTAGTCCAAGACAACAACCTGAGCAAGAGTAGATCACTTCGTAGATGTTCCACCAAGACACATAAAATGATCAAATTACAGTGTTCCTTCTTGTTTTCTACCTTGATAACAAAGCAATTCAAGTTCATGAAATGACTGTGACTACAGCGTTTGATATTCCTGGGGATGTCTCTTCCTCTCTCTTTTACAGATGCGTTCTCTCTGGATCCTGACACTGGGCTGATTCGCTCCCTGAGGTTACTGCAGAGTTTTGAGAGGTTTAATCTGACTATGGTGGCGACCGATCATGGCAGACCTCCCCTCTGGGGCACCGCCAGTCTTCAGATCACCGTCATAGATGTCAATGACAACAGGCCTGTCTTTGTGCGGCCTGCCAATGGCACTATCATGCATATACTAGAGGTGTGTAACAGTGAAAAAACAATCACTCATTTTTTTTTTATTACTAAAGCATATTGTCATTTCGTTATGTTTCGATCCACCTATTTTTATTCAAATTTTGGGATATGGCATTAAAAAAAACGTTGCATGGAAACAGCGAGATGTGCAAAATTAAAAAAAAAAATTCTGATAAGACGACATGCGCAGAAACTATAATGGAAACACATTTACTGAATAAATCCCTTGGTGCGCAACAAAACGCTTTTTACCTCTGTTGAGGTAAAACATGGCTTTACCTCAACAGAGGATGTGATTGGATAATTGGATAACTTAAAATCGTTCATCCTAATCATTTGGTATCATTTGGTATCACACAATCATGCTCCCAGACACCAGGCATTCGAACGCAAGATAAAATGGCGCCATTTATTGAGTTCCGTCTGTGCGCTCTGAGATGCAAGTCACTTCTGATGTAGGAAAAAGGAGAAAAAGATCCACCGATTGCAGCAGCTTTCATTTTTATTACAGATATTTTGCGCCAATTTCCCAGGAAGTGACAGATTTGTTCTCTTGAAAACATGCTTTGTTCACAATGTTTTATGTGATATTCCAATTTTGTGAATTTTTTGCAACTAAATTTGCGACTTTGAATGGAAACAGTATTGTAATTCAAGGCAGGATTCCTCACTCATCTTACAAAGTAACGTAGACTCACTGTATTCCGGACATCACGGTATTCCGGACACTTGACCTTTTTTCGCAAATTATATAAATAAACACTTTCAGGTCACGGCGTATATACATATCCGTGTCATCTTTGCCTCCTCCTCTTTCGATTCCGACCAACCTTATGCTTCCAGAGCCAGACGTTTCATAGAAATCAACGCGAGTTTCTAACACACACCATTGACTGTTCAGAAAATGACGAGGGGAAGGTTTTCCGGCAGGACAAATGGACGAGGGGATAATATACCTCAATAGAAAACGGCTCTTAAAACACGATCACCCACCAGAAAATGACGGGGAAAAAAACATTCGTATGGTCTTATAAAATAATTATGAGTTACAATTTGCAAATATTTGTACTTTAAGGGCTTAAAAAAATAATATTTAAAATTCTTAAATATAACTTTAGAATATAATGCTCAAATGAGCAATTGTCAATTAAAAGAGTGTATAGACGCTTATACAACGAAGTTAAGAAGATTAATATGATTAATTTACCAACTTATAGTTGTTAAAATGTATGCGTTTTATATTAGAAATGACTGTCCGAAACACAGTGAGTAGAAATTTTCAGCTGTCCGGAACACCGTGAGTCCTCATGGTAATCCGGACACTGCGTCTCCCGGCAGTTTTTTTCAAGATTTCTCTAATATGATTAGCTCAAAATGTGTCAAACAAACTTTGAAACGTGTGGAAGGCGTGTCCCCAGAGACAGACGAGCAATCAGGTTTATCTTTCAGCGGGTTGATATCTAAAAGGACGTTTTACTGTGCAAAGTGTCCGGAATACAGTGAGTCTACGTTACAACTCAAGCACTTTGATGTGTTCTCAGCTATTCCTTCTTTTGGCTTCGTCATTGTCTTTCTCGCATCCCAGGGTACATCATAGGAATATACTTTACATCTGACAGCCAGACTGAAAAGATCATGTTGCTTAAAGGAGCAATGTGTGATTTTTAGCGACATCTAGTGGTTCGGTTGCGAGTTTGCACCAGGTTTGCACTAAGGGCTCAGCCCACTGCTCACCCCTCCCTTTCGAAGAAGCTACGGTTGCTAAAACGGGACAAACATCTTGTCGGCTGAGACAGCAGAGAAAAGCCAGAGTAAGCCAAGAGTGTGTAACATTGTCAATGTTACTGTACCACAGTCCATTATAAACCACATCATGAATACTGTCTGTTTACAAAGCCATAGTCAGGTGAGGATCAAGGGTTTTAATATATAGATTAATAAAATAATAATCAGCTGATTGTCTCACAAACGTAACCAGCAGCACATTTCTCCCCACATACTGTAGCAAACCCATAATACAGCGAGGGAGCAGCTATATATTTTTTCTAACAGGGTAGTAATAGTTTAGCTGGCTAATATGAGCTGTTACTGTGGCTGAGCTGGGACTCGTCCGCATGAGTCCAAAGGTCGGAACTGCGCGCGCTGTTACAATCATGTCATCTCCGCATCCCATAGATACTATTTACTACACACAATAGGCTTTTTTTCTCTGATTTTGAAAAATCTTCGCGATCGACTTTAGTGATAAAAGACTTTAGTAAAAGTCTCTATCGACGGGTTAGTGATTCCTGTAACGTACTGTTTTACGGTCAATGACATGAATACTAATCATCAGCTGTCTCACGAACGTAACAGCACATCTATCCCCAACATAACAAACCCATAACACAGCGAGGGAGAACTAAGTTACATGAAACAATCCCAACTACATGTTTTACACCACTCACAAGGGAAAAGTCACTACTCACGGAGTGTAAGGCTAGCTTTCCGCTACTTCTCTTTCAAGGTAGTGATGAAACGCGTTCTGTAGCGCTGTGTGTTCGCGTTCGGCTACGGTAGGAATATGACGTCACAACATGGCGACCTTCATAGAAGGGGATTCCCGCGGTTATGGAGCTATTAATGTCTCATTCTAAGGTAATAAAAACATTACGGTTAATTAAGTAAGTTCTTTATACACCACTGAAAACATAGTTATGGATGTCATATTGCATTTCTGTTAATAGATACTCAACTTTGTTACACATTGCACCTTTAAAAGAGTGTGTCAAATTTAATAGTGACGGCCTTTTTTCCCCCTGAGCCGAAGTGATGAAAACAACCCCAGTGTCTCAGAGGTGTTAGCCATAGTGTCATAGCAGATAGTATTTTGAGTGCAATCTTCAAAACAATCTTTAAAACTGTGGTGCCTCATAAAATAGCGTAATGTCTAAGTAGGTACTACATTTGAATTTGATTTTTGCACACTCCAGAATCTCAGAAACTACTGTTTTT